AATATAAGCTATCTGTTCGTACACAGTTTTCTCTTTCCGATCATTCGTTTAGAATTTTCCTGCTAGAACAACGTTACTCCAGCAGGAATCGTTTTTTTCGTTTTGTACCAAAACGACAGCACGCACTAATCTCTAATTCGGCGCACATTTACACCATGTTGGGAACTAATTATACGTTCTACTCATATCACTCTAGGAGCTACTTTCCAGCTGGAGTAACGTACACGAAATACTCATGTACTTAAATAAAACACAAAAATCTAACAAATATTTTTTTTATTTCAATAAACTAAAGTAACGATGTACAGTCAGCAAAAAGTTGTTAAATAATATTACATATAATTGATTACAAAATTGAGCCAACTCCAAAACTGACTGTACAATGATAATAATAATAAAATAAAATGCTTCGCATAATAAATCAAGTAAATATTTGCGTGTATAAGAAAAAATGCAATATTAAATAAAGCTTAACAATAGATCTGGCACGAAAACATTCGCTAAATAGGTTCAAAAAGTAATTACATAATAGCAACAGAAAACTAATAATAATATCTAAATTTCAATAGTAGGTAAATTAATATCTAAAAGGAAATTATTTTTCTGTACAAAATCCTAAAGCTTTGGGGCTTAGTGAGATCTATTTATCTTTCACTCATTCTGGCTTAAACGACAAAGGGGTCATCCATAAAGTACGTCACACGTAAAGGGGGGGGGAGGGGGTCGACAAAGTGTGACATGGTGTGACAAGGGGTGGGAGGGGTCCTAAGTTTCGTGACATCACATTTCAATTGTTTAATATAATGTTGATTTCATAAAAAAGTACTTAATTTAAATGGAAACAAAACTAATTTCGGAACTGCTGTTTTAATTTGATAATTTTTTGATGTGAAATTGCAAAACATGTGACGTCACACTAGGGAGGGGGGGTCTCAGAAATGTGACCACCTGTGACAAGGACGGGGGGGGGCTCANAAGTTTCGTGACATCACATTTCAATTGTTTAATATAATGTTGATTTCATAAAAAAGTACTTAATTTAAATGGAAACAAAACTAATTTCGGAACTGCTGTTTTAATTTGATAATTTTTTGATGTGAAATTGCAAAACATGTGACGTCACACTAGGGAGGGGGGGTCTCAGAAATGTGACCACCTGTGACAAGGACGGGGGGGGGCTCAAAAAATCATGAAATTCGTGTGACGTACTTTATGGATGGCCCCAAAGTCAGACAAACCAGAAAATGCTATTGAAAGCTGTAAAGAACCCCCTGATGTGAAGAATTGAAAAGGACTAGCTATTTTTATTTTAGGCTTATCACAAATTCATATCCAAAAAGTACTTATATTTATTCGATATTTATCCAGTTCCACTACTTTACTTATACAAAACATCCTTATATCTATAGTTAGCAAATGGGAGAATATGAAAGTATAAAAATTAGTTGAATACTACGTCGGAGAATATTTTATGAAGGTATAAAAATTGGTTGGATGCTACGTCAATCAGTCAAGGTGTTCACGAGAGGTGCTGGAAGAACCAGCTGGCCGTGTTGATCACGTGGTCCATCTCCGCAGCCGGCGACGACAGCGAATGGTTGTCGTCGTACATGTATATTCTGGAAAAACAAAATAGAAATTAGACCAAGCAAATGGGGCGTTAGTCGTTTCACACGACGAGAAATTCGGACCACCCGGGCATTTGGAAAGGATCGCTTTGAAAAGGAGTTTTCACACTGGTGTGAATCATCGAAAAAAAATGTTTTTTTATAGGACCTCGAATTTGAATCGCAATTCGAAAAAGGCGATTGGGTTGTACGTACACCGCAGTCCGAAGAGGACCTATTTACAAATAATATTTGGGCCATAAAAAGTTTTATGCTTTGAAAAGCTTTTTTTCAGTGTCCACACACTACCTATATCAGTTTTCAATTAACGTCAAATAGCTGTTCACTGAGATAGGAAGTAATTAAATAGTACTCATTAAATAAGTAAATTAAGTAGGTTTCGGACTACAATGCGGGCAGAGTGATTTATCTATATTTTGACAGTCCAATAACGGAATCTACGCAATTCTAGTGGCTGTGACACACTGGCCTTGACTTCAGGTTGTCACTCAATATGACTTGGGGTGTAGCATGTATGACTCATGAGAAGATTCATGCTCGATTAATGCAATATTTTCCAACTAACATTGTCGATAGTGGAATTCTGATGATTATTTTTCTTTCGAGTCAACCAAACGGTCCCAATTTTATTCACTTTGGATTGTAATGTTTACTACGCAAAACTTTTCTTTTTCTCTCTCTCGTTGTGCGATCTAAATTAATAAAAAAATACTGTCTTACCTAGTGGTAACCCCGTTAGCCTTGAGCCTCCTAGCGTACTCCATCCAGTCCTTGGAAGAGCGGCACCCTCTTGTCACCGCAACCCAGCATCAAACTATCAGCCGACTTAAATCTGCGGGGTGTCTAAGCATTGCATGCGAAGGCAACGTCTTTAGCGCAGTAGTCATTTTACCTAGTGGTAACCCCGTTGGCCTTGAGCCTCCTAATATACTCCAGTCCTCTAAGGGCTAAGGGCGGCAACCTCTTATCGCCGTTGCCTAACATCATAGCGGTGGGCGCGATGGGCGAGCAACGCCGCATTGCACTAGATTTTGTAAAGGGCGCGCAACGAAAGTTGAGGCGAAAACGTATTCAGACTGATGTAATATTTGAATAGCGCAAACAACACATTACACATCCAAGTCCAAATCGAATACACTAGCTACCTCGCTCTTGTTAAATGCAAGCGAGATAGAAAGTACTTGTCAGCGTATACAGATACAAATATTTTCTTGTGTTGATGGCCTCATCTCTCGTTATGCGACCTATATCCATAAAAAATCCGTTGTACACACTGACCTAGTGGTAACCCCGTTAGCCTTGAGCCTCCTAGCATACTCCAATCCTTGGAAGAGCGGCACCCTCTTATCACCGCTTCCCAACATCATAGCGGTGGGCGCTTTGACTTTGTGCACGTGCGCGATGGGCGAGCAACTCCGCATGGCTCACTAGATTTTGTATAGGGCGCGCAACGAAAGTTGAGGCGAACACGTATTTACACTGATGTAATTTTTGAATAGCGCAAACAACACATTACACATCCAAGTCCAAATATCGAATACACTAGCTACCTCGCTCTTGTTTAATGTCTGCAAGCGAGATAGAAAACACTTGTCAGCGTATACAGATACAAATCTTTTCTTGTGTTGATGGCCTCATCTCTCGTTATGCGACCTATATCCATAAAAAATCCGTTGTACACACTGACCTAGTGGTAACCCCGTTAGCCTTGAGCCTCCTAGCGTACTCCAGTCCTTGGAAGAGCGGCACCCTCTTATCACCACTGCCCAGCATCATAGAGGTGGGCGCCTTGACCTTGTGCACGTGCGCGATGGGCGAGCAACGCCGCATGGCTCACTGAAGATTTTGTATAGGGCGCGCAACGAAAGTCGAGGCGAACACGTATTTATGACGTAATATTTGAATAATACAAACAACACATTAAACATCCAAGTCCAAATATCGAATACCCTAGCTATCTAGCTGTTGTTAAATGTCTGCAAGCGAGATAGAAAGCACTTGTCAGCGTATACAGATACAAATCTTTTCTTGTATTGATGGCCTCAACTCTCGTTATGCGACCTATATCCATAAAAAATCCGTTGTACACACTGACCTAGTGGTAACCCCGTTAGCCTTGAGCCTCCTAGCGTACTCCAGTCCTTGGAAGAGCGGCACCCTCTTGTCACCACTGCCCAGCATCATAGCGGTGGGCGCTTTGACTTTGTGCACGTGCGCGATGGGCGAGCAACGCCGCATGGCGAGCATATGCTCCTCGGACACCGGGCCCTTCTCTGTGAATTCGAATCCGGCTTCTACTGCGCACCTGTGTACAAATTATGATATTTGATTTAAAAAAAATCAAATTCAAAAATATTTACCACAAGTGGCACATAGTTTAGACCAGTCTTTCCCAAAGTGGGCGATAACGCCCCCTTGTGGGCGCTGCAGGCTTAAAGGGGGGCGGTAAAAGACCCAGAAAAAAAAATCGGGACGCTGTGTAGAGGCTTGGGAGGCGTCATCTACTAGGAGGACTCTTAGACACCGACTGAGCTCGACTCTTGACTACAAAAATGGGGGGCGCTAAAAATAATTTATTCTCAAAGTGGGCAGTAGACTAAATAATTTTGGGAACCGCTGGTTTAGACCACAAGTGGCACTTATGAACGTCAAAATATAGTTATAGAAAAGGTAGCCCTTATGGGGCACTTTACATGTCTCTTTATCTTTTGGGTCCTACCATAGGATTCTGTGCTAAGAGAAAGGATACCTAAAATTATTTGTATTTTTCAGATATGTTCATATATTCATACAGGGTGTTTGAAAGAGTGTTACGCCCGTATTCACAAACATTACTATGAGGTCTCACAGTGCGCGTGGAATGGACGCACAGCTCTATTCAACGCTGTACGTTCGATTTGCTGCTTCATTTAAGCAAGCATCATTTGTAAACGGGCGGTAGACAAACACGTTGGACGTATAGGTAGAGCCATTTTGAGAATAAAAACTTAGCCATTTGATTCTATGAGATCAACTTTTATTTTACACAGGCATTTTGACCTCACTTACCCGTCAGAGTTATCTGCGTACTGTCCTTTAGTGGCCATATCTATCAACGGATTCTTCATCACCATCGCCAAGAACTCGTCCGGGCACTCCGAAGCCATGTGCCCCACTATGAAGCCCCCATAACTGCTCCCATACAACAGAACTCCCTCGATTTGGTCGTCCCGCTCTAACGTGGAGGTGAGAGCGAAAAGGCAGTCGGTGACGTCATTGCCGGTGTTGCCAGGTAGGCATCTGACGTTCGCGTCGCCGTGCCCGGTCGAGCCGCGGTAGTTTATCCGGACGGAGGCCAGACCTAAAGATAGCCACTTGTCAAAGAAATGGTATTTATTGGCACTACTGCAAAACTTCATGTCACTTTAACTGTCAGATTTTTTCTTTTACTTATTTTATGCAATTTCTATTTGATATGGATGGATATTAAATCTGATTTTAATTAAGATAATTCATTGTTTCGTAGCATACTAGAGACGTGCGACATTTGTCTCAATGTCCACTCGCCCCGCGTATCCTACGTAAGTTTATACCCTAGTTTTAAACAGATTCAATATTAGTCAAGGAATTTTATAAGTAATGGGTATAAATTAGTAATATTTGAAAGAAATTCGCGCTGTGGGATGCAAATAGATTTTTATTAGTAAGGCAGAATTTTATTGTGCGGGATTTATTTTCTAAGTTCGTGAGTAGTGAGTGGATATTTGTATTTATGTGTGTGTGTGATTTCCAAAACCCATGTCATTGGCATTGGCAAGAAGGAGCAAAGAAGAGAGAAGCAAATAAATTTGTGACCATTACGTCAGTTGAAAGATTGAGCACCTACGGTAATTGTCATTGTCAGTCTGAAATAATGCAACTGTCAAAAAACTACAAAACTCGCGACTCGTTCGAATTATACTGTTGTTTATGTCGAAGTATAATTTGTCCCAAATATAACAGGCGGTTTAGGTCAGGCCTCCGTTGCTATACTCTAAAATACGTACCAAATAACTGACGACGTAGACTGAAGAAGTCCAGCTGCTAAATCAATCAACACACCGCAACAGAATCTAGTCTACCACTTACCAATCCGCAATGTCCGTGGAATTGAACATCGTTGCGACATCTGTCACCGGGTTCCTCGTTGCCACAACTTTATATAGATCTGGGTATTGTCCACTGAGGTGTGTGACCAGGAAGCCTCCGTGCGAGCCTCCGACAAGGCACAGCTTGTTCTCATCGATCGGGAACTGTTTTAGGGCTATATCTGTGGCGAGCTTGCAGTCTACGACGTCAGCAGAACCGACCCGCTTGGGCAGGAAGCCAACGGAGGCCTGGCCGCCGCCTGTGGACCCTCGGTAGTTAATTTGGAGCATCGCGAAGCCTGCAAGGAAGGCTTGGTTGGGTCACAAACGTCGACGGAACACGAGCATGTGTGTTTAGTGTATGTTGCAATCTATATATATAAAAATGAAACCCGTTTCGCGTTGTCACGGCATCACGTGTGAACGGCTGAACCGATTTCGACAATTCTTTTTTTTAAATGTTTGTGGAAGTCCAAGGATGGTTCTTACGGAAAAAAATATTAAGAAAATCTCTACGCTAAGGCGGTACGAAGTTCGCCGGGTCAGCTAGTAGAGGATAATTTAGGAAGAAGCGAGTATGAAGTTTAAGCTGTCTGTTGTTAGTTGTTACCAGCAAGTGACAACAGGAAGATATGTAGCAAGCAAGCGAGCATTGAAAAATTTTAACGCTACGTGTGTCGCTGATGTTAATTTGCTATGTCCGTTGGGTTTTTGTGTCCAATAGCATATCAGATTTGTTGTTAGTGGCATAGCGCTCTATGTAGTTTCCTGCGGTAGTAGAAGGGTGCGAGAGAGTGACGTAATATAGCTCACTATCCTCCTGAAATCGCGACTCGTGACATTATGACCCCCACATTGTGCAGTCAGCTTCAAATAGTTCATGACACCCAAAGTGGTCAAAAACTATTCGTTACAATTGGAATAACTTTTTGGCCAATTTGGGTGTCACGAACTACTTGACGCTGACTGTACCACCACAGGAACTTAGCTAATTATGCGCTATGCCTAAAAGTCCGGTCGCCGAGCAGATAGTATTTCGTACAATGACCCCACGCTACCCATCCTCGCGCTCGCGCGTAATTATATTGCTGTCGCGCTCGCACATTCACTGCGGCCGCCCGTCGTACAGTGATGGTATGGATAAGGATGGGCAGCTTGGGGTCATTGTACGAAGTTCTATCTGCTCGGCGACCGGACTTTCGTTGTTAGTGAGCAGACTCACCGAGCATGGCGAAGAAAGCGGCTTCGCTGGCGAAGGCGTTGACGAAGCCCGAGTGCGGCCCGCCGTGCGGCCACACCACCAGCGGCAGCTTGCCTTCCTTCTGCGGCGCCATGTATATCGCCGTGAATGATTCTGTGGACAGCGACAAAGTTAATGACATAATAATATGTATTTAACCTGTGCGATGATAAAAGAGCTCTAGATGATAAAACGGGCATACCGTTAAAGGTTAACTAGTCTGAGCTCTTTTGTTTTTAGACCTTAAGACAGGGGAATAAAGTTCAAAATATAGAGGGAAATATATTCCCACTACCATATAAAGGGTTAAAACGCCCGCTTTTTCCATCGGGAAAGGCTTTTCGCATACCCACAGGCGGATTACGTGGGACTCTGGAGGGGCCTACCAACTAAAACCTGATAGAGCCCTCCGGAACCAATGAAAAGCTGTGAGTTATTGTTCTAAACTGAAGATTCGATCGGCTCAGTTAAGACACCAACTGTTTGCCATACGCGACTATCATTAGACCGTGCTAACGCAGGTACTACCTCATCTTCAAGGGCGATAGATACTACAGTTACTATCTTCCGAGGTCTCGTGTGTGAGTTGCAAATACATACTGCATCGAACTGGTGGCAAGATAGAGGCACGTCTGCCTCGCTCACGCGCACTCAAATGTGAACCGTAACGCCTCGTCTTAAGGTCGAGTGTCAATGGAGAGGCACGTCGGCCGCCTCGCTCACTCGCACCCAAATGTTAACCGTACCACCTGGTCTTAAAGTCTACCCAAGTAACATTTTACTCCATTTAAGAGTTCAATAGTCGTTCACATGTACTCCACAAGCTGTGTATGTCAGCTGTATACGAGCTGTATAGCTTGCTATAATGCTTTTATAGAACCAGTTTGGGCACAAATTAGACAGCTTTAAGTTCACTATGGCTGTACATTAGCAGTATAATAGCATTATAATAGCAGTTTAAGTAGTAACATCGTACTTAAGGCTGACTTACGGCACTATATGGGACGCAGTGTGAACCATACAACGTACGTGAGGACAATAAAGAGTAACAAGTGGCTAAATGCACAGCTTTCAAAGTTATAAAGTCCGACAAAAGTATTCCAATGCTACCTAAAGTTCACGTGTGTCTTAAATTATTTCCACATTTTAATATTAGTTTGGTATTTGTACGTGAGTGCCAAGAGGGAAACAACTCGGGCGGATAATCATTTATGCAAATAATAACACGGGTTTTAAATACTTAATAATGTTAATGCCATTGGGAATGCAACTTTATCGTGAAATGTATACATATTTACAGCTAAAATATTTACGCGCCTCTGTAAAAACGCGATATTCATTTTAAAATATTTAAAACTGGCTGAGAGGAAATCTACAATTTTCAGTTTTTGATATTGTATTGGCATTATAATTATACTACGGTAATTAATTATAACATGAAACCAAAACTCAATCGCTCTATCTGCGAATTTTGTGATAAATCTGCATTAATTTTGGAGATTTATTTGGTAAATATTTTAGGTTATGTAGAACAAAATGGTGGAAATGAAATACGGCTATGTGAACTGTTATAACTCCAATTTAATGCGGTGAGCGTATATTAGGTTCACATGTGTTCTGTTAGAATGCTGTTATCTATATGAAGTTCCACATTTGTACCACTACAGCGCTAATGTCTATAAATTTATTCTAATGTGAACTTATGTACAGCTTTAAGATGTACCTAGTTCAGGTCAATTGTGTATCTTTAATTCTTTCAAATACTGAAATTTTAGAGATCCGCAATAAAAATTATTAATGTCCGTTAAATCGCCTAGCCCAGGTACTAATAGTCAAGTATGAATACCTAAAGCATCAGACGGTAGTGTTCCCGGTTTAAATTCGTTTATTATGCCTGACAATTTATTCAAAGCGGAATGAGGAATACGATTTTCAATAGCCCATGTTCTTATTTTTTTGCTAAAGGTTAAATAATTGTCTAAATCAAAATTGTATTCACTATCACTAGAACTGCAATCATCACACTCTGATATCTGTATATTTTGAAGGGAACTTTCAGGTTCAGGCATAATATTTTCCTCTGCATCATGTACAGAACCACCATAAATACAACTAAAAACAGGCTTGGGGAAAAGTGTAATAGAATATCACATTCACATTCATTTTCAGCTTAAAGCAAATAAGAGTAGTACTTGTGGACAAATAAACTGCTATTGATGTTAATGGACAACACATATAGTCCTTTTAACAGCCTACAGTGCACATGCGAACCATTGAAACACTTTTGTACAGATAGTAAAAAAAGGTTATTTTATTAACACAAACAAGTCCTACTACAGCTACTAGCTGTATAACAGTCTAAAACAAGTAAACATAACAGCCTTTGGCTTTATAAATGACCACGTGTGTTCTATTAAAATGCTAGCTCTATAACATCGTACAAGTAGGCCGTTAAACAGCGGTTGCCGTATCTCTACCCTCCTATAATGCTCTTAGTCAGACGGCTGACTAAAGGATAGTTGTTAGAGTATTATAACACCAACAATCGTATAAAAGTATAACTCTACACTAGTCTACACTCCTATAAGTCCCTTAGACAGGTATAGGTGTAATTAATTGCAATAATACAGCTTATACATCACGAGTGAACTGTACTAATGCTTTAAGTACACATTGGAACTAAATGTGAACTCTTAAATGGAGTAAAATGTTACTTGGGTATTATCAATGTATCACTAAGGGCGATACATACTGACGCTGTCCTCCGAATTCTCATGCGTAAGCTGCAAGTATTGCACCGAGCTGGTAGCAAGAGAGAGAGGCACGTCGGCCGCCTCGCTCACTCGCACCCAAATGTGAACCATACCGCCTTGTCTTAAAGTATATTTTCAATGTACCATGTATTCTAAGGGCGATACATACTGACGCTGTCCTCCGAATTCTCATGCGTAAGCTGCAAGTATTGCACCGAATTGGTAGCAAAAGAGAGGCACATCGACCGCCTCGCTCACACACGCACCCAAATGTGAACCGTACCGCCTGGTCTTAAAGTCTATTATCAATGTATCACTAAGGGCGATACATACTGACGTTGTCCTCCGAATTCTCATGCGTAAGCTGCAAGTATTACACCGAGCTGGTAGCAAGAGAGAAGGCACGTCAGCCGCCTCGCTCACTCGCACTCAAATGTGAACCGTACCGCCTCGTCTTAAAGTCTATTATCAATGTACCATGTATTCTAAGGGCGATACATACTGACGCTGTCCTCCGAATTCTCATGCGTAAGCTGCAAGTACTGCACCGAGCTAGTAGCAAGAGAGAGAGGCACGTCGGCCGCCTCGCTCACTCGCACCCAGCGCGCGTCGGCCTCGGTTCCCGCCGTCGGCATTCGGGACACGAACAACTGTAAAGCAAAGCGAGCATTATGTAGATGACATACGTTTTAAATTGTCAAAATAGTAAAATTAAATGTGTAAAATAGTATAAGATGGCAAACTCAAAACTCAAGACAAATTCGTGCACACTGTTTGTATAGTCCAAAAGATAAGGAGACATGTAAAGTGGGGGCACTTTACAGTTTACATGTCTGTCGAATTGATCCGTGTGCAGTTTTGGGTTATGGACTATCCTTTTTTTACTGTATTTGACGTTCAAAAGTGCCACCATATTTTTGATTTGATTTTGTAAAGATCAAACCAGCAACTCTAGCAGAGTAGCCTAGTTCGCAGCTTGACTTACTTGACTTATGGTCCTATGTCCCCTAGATGGGGCAGAGGGCGTCCACAACAGTCAGTTCGCAGCTACATACGCTATATCAGACGTAAAGGTGTGGCGTAAGCTTTTTTTTAATACAATCCAATAACATCAAACAACAAATTTAAATATTTAAACCTTATTCCTATATTACCTGTCCTGGAGTGGTCATGTTGGAGCAAACAGCCAGGACTACATTGGACTGTATGTCCAGCACCGACGTAGAGCCGGGCGTCGTCCTGTTCGATATGTCCACAATGTGTTTGCTTTCTGTAAAGATAATTATTACATGTTAGAATACGGTCCGTGGAACGAGCCGTTGGCAACAAGCCGCATGATACTTAAGCTGCTAAAGTGGTTTCAACCAAATGTCGTCCACTGTTGGACAGAGGTCTCCCCCAAAGATTTCCTCCAAAGTTACCGAAATAGCCCGCAGAATTGCCAAATTTATGTGGCAGTGGGCGGGGCACATATCTCGTAAAACTGTCTATTGAGGCAGAAAAGTTCTGGAGCGGCCACCACTGACTGGAATACTGGATATCTTTGGGCAGGATTCTCACTCTATACTTACGTTCTGGTGAAGGTCGCAGAAAGCATCAAGATAAGCGACCAGCACAAGACCGGCCTTTGTTCAAATCTTTGAGAAGATATAAGGCTGCCTTGTCATAAGATATACTCGCCTAAGTTTACGTAGCTTCTGTTCTCATGCTGTGGCGCGGAGATTTTTGCTTCTGTCTCAAATGTTTTTTAATAAGTTAAAACGAACCAGTCGAAACCCAGGACCTTTGGCTTGCTAGATAATATACTGATGAATGATTTACTTGCCTAAGTTGACCACGTAGGACCTAACTTCAGTCTGCTGCGGCGTGGAGAACAACACTCGCTTGTTGTCCACGAAGCAGCGCTCGGGCAGCGCCTGGCAGTACAGGCCGTGGAACGAGCCGCATGTTACTAAGGCTGCTTAAGTCGTTTCAACGAAACGCCGTCCACTGCTGGACAAAGGTCTTCCAAAGGTTTGCTCCAAAATCGGTTACAGCCCGCAGAATTGCCAAACTTAAGTGACAGTTGGCGGGGCACACAGCTCGTAGAACTGATGTCCATTGAGGCAGAAAAGTTCTCGAGGGGCCTCCGCGGACCGGAAGACGTAGTGTGGGCAGGCCCCCTACTAGGTAGACCGATCTGATGAAGATCACTGGAACTGCCTGGATGCTGGCAGCGCAGGACCGGTTGTTGTGGAAACCCTTGGGGGAGACCTTTGTCCAGCAGTGACGTCATTCTGCTGAAACGAACGAATGAACGATACTTGCCTAAGTTGACCACGTAGGTAGGATCTAACTTCAGTCTGCTGCGGCGTGGAGAACCGCTTGTTGTCCACGAAGCAGCGCTCGGGCAGCGCCTGGCAGTACAGGCCGTGGAACGAGCCGTTGGCAACGAGCCGCATGTTACTAAGGCTGCTAAAGTTGTTTCAACCAAATGCCGTCCACTGCTAGACAAATGCCTCCTCAAAGATTTCCTCCAAAGTCGGTTACAGCCCGCAGAATTGCCAAATTTATGTGGCAGTGGGCGGGCACATAGCTCGTCCTTTGTGGCAGAAAAGCAACGAGCCGTGTGTTATTAAGACTGCTAAAGTTGTTTCAACCAAATGCCTCCTCAAAGATTTCCTCCAAAGTCGGTTACAGCCCGCAGAATTGCCAAATTTAAGTGACAGTTGGCGGGGCACACACAGCTCGTAGAACTGATGTCCATTGAGGCAGAAAAGTTCTCGAGGGGCCTCCGCGGACCGGAAGACGTAGTGTGGGCAGGCCCCCTGCTAGGCGGACCGACGATCTGATGAAGATCACTGGAACTGCCTGATGCGGGCAGCGCAGGACCGGTTGTTGTGGAAATCCTTAGGGGAGGCCTTTGTCCGGCAGTGACGTCATTCTGCCGAAATGAACGAATGAATGATACTTGTCTGTACAGGAACTCTTCGCCCTGCAAGAATATCTTTGGTCACATAGCGCCATCTAGTTCGAAACTAAGGAAAGTTTATACAGATACCAGACTGTACCATCAACTAAGTTGACGCTTGAACACCTTAAGCTGGGTCTGCAGCGCGTGTTTTGCGCTACACAATCAACAAAAACATGTCATATGAACGAATGAATGATACTTGCCTAAGTTGACCACGTAGGATCTAACTTCAGTCTGCTGCGGCGTGGAGAATACCACTCGCTTGTTGTCCACGAAGCAGCGCTCGGGCAGCGCCTGGCAGTACAGACCGTGGAACGAGCCGCATGTTACTAAGGCTGCTTAAGTCGTCTCAACGAAATGCCGTCCACTGCTGGACAAAGGTCTTCCAAAGGTTGGCTCCAAAATCGGTTACAGCCCGCAGAATTTCCAAAATTGGCAGTGGGCGGGGCACATATCTCGTAAAACTGATGTCTATTGAGGCAGAAAGTTCTCGAACGGCCACCACGGACCTTGGGCAGGCTTATCACTGTGGACTGACATTCTGGTGAAGGTCGCGGGAAGCACCTATATGCAAGCAGCGCAAGACCGGTCTTTGTGGAAGGCCTGTACTCCTGGTCTTTGCTTTACTGGCAGGCGGTATGTGTCAGTTTTTTATTCAGTACATAAGCCCTTTCCAGGGCGCTTATACATCATGTCCCAAATAGCTTGCCCTAATACCACCGTTGTATTTGCCTTAAAATTAACCACGTAGCTTCTGATCTCAGTCTGCTGCGTCATGGAGAACACCAATCTCTTGAAATCCTTGAGGGAGGCCTTTGTCCAGCAGTGACGTCATTATGCCGAAATGAACGAATGAATGATACTTGCCTAAGTTGACCACGTAGGATCTAACTTCAGTCTGCTGCGGCGTGGAGAACACCACCCGCTTGTTGTCCACGAAGCAGCGCTCGGGCAGCGCCTGGCAGTACAGGCCGTGGAACGAGCCGTTGGCAACGAGCCGCATGTTACTAAGACTGCTTGAGTCGTTTCAACCAAATGCCGTCCACTGCTAGACAAATGCCTCCTCAAAGATTTCCTCCAAAGTCGGTTACAGCCCGCAGAATTGCCAAATTTTTGTGGCAGTGGGCGGGCACATAGCTCGTCCATTGTGGCAAAAAAGTTCTCGAGCGGCCACCAGCCCATCACTGACTGGATATCTTTGGGCAGACTTTTCACTCTACAGACTTACGTTCTGGTGAAGGTCGCAGAAAGCATCAAGATAAGCGACCAGCACAAGGTCGGTCTTTGTGCAAATCTTTGAGAAGATATAAGGCTGCCTTGTCATAAAACATACTCGCCTAAGTTGACGTAGATTCTGTTCTCATGCTGTGGCGTGGAGATCTTTGAGATCTTGATCGTAAGCATGTATGGGCATGGCTACTTCCGTCTCAAATGATTTTTTAATAAGTTAAAACGAACCAGTCGAAACCCAGGACCTTTGGCTTGCTAGATAATATACTGATGAAAGATATACTCGCCTAAGTTGACCACGTAGGATCTAACTTCAGTCTGCTGCGGCGTGGAGAACAACACTCGCTTGTTGTCCACGAAGCAGCGCTCGGGCAGCGCCTGGCAGTACAGGCCGTGGAACGAGCCGTTGGCGATCTGAATCTCCGTGTCCACGATGTCTATGATGGTTGACACTTCGCTCTGGAATGTTATTGTAAAGGTAAAGGATAAATTGATGCTGCATATTTCTACTTCATTCTCCTTGTAAATCTGTATCTTAAGATTTCTGTGGATACCAATGTTTTCCTCTGACCCTTTATTTATTTATTTATTAGGTATATACTACAGTTGACAATCGAGTTTTGTTAGTAGATACTTAAGTACACTTGGTTAGTAGTTTATGGTAGAAAAACGAAAAAAGGTATTTTGGAGAAAACCTTTCTTATATTACAAATACAAGATGATGATCGTTAATAAAACTGCTGTTAACTGACTTGCACAATCACACCTCACTCACACCTCTGCCTCGTGTTTCATCTCTTCGCCTCTTTCTTTCTTCTCCCAATCTCTATTTTCCTCTCTGTCTTCCTTTCTTTCTTACCTGTCCCTTCTTCATCATGACCAAGTCACACCAAGTCGCCTTCGAGTGAAACGCTCGGCGACCTCACGGCCATGCCCTCACTAGACAACTTCTATCTCTCACTCTCTCTCATACTATTCTTTCACTCTCACTTTTCCCTTCTTTTCTCTTTTCTTACCTGTCCATTCTTCATCATGACAAGCGCGTGGCAAGCGTGGTGCGGCCCACCCGCGTGTCGCTGCAGCCATACTAAGTCACCTTCAGGCGAGAAGCGAGGCGACCTCAGGGTCATACCTTCACTAGAAAACTTCTCTCTCTCTCTCTCATACTATTACTCACCTATCTTTCTCTGTCTATCTCTCTCTTTCATTTTCTTTCTTACCTGTCCCTTCATCATGACGAGCGCGTGGCAGGCGTGGTGCGGCCCGCCCGTGGTTCGCTGCAGCCACACCAGAGAAGCGAGACGACCTTACTGCCATGCCCTCGCTCGACAACTTCTCACAGTATTTCTCTTACTCAGTCGCCCTCTCTCTCACCCCCTACTATTACTCTCCTTTTTCTGCCCTTACTAGACAACTTCTTTCTCTCTCTCTCATACTATTACTCACCTTTCCTACTCTCTCTCTCTCTCTATCTCTCTTACACTTTCTCTTCTCTTACCTGTCCCTTCTTCATCATGACGAGCGCGTGGCAGGCGTGGTGCGGCCCGCCCGTGGTTCGCTGCAGCCACACCAAGCCGCCCTCTGGTGAAAATCGATGCGACCTCACGGCCATGCCCTCACTAGACAACTTCTATCTCTCACTCTCTCTCATACTATTCTTTCACTCTCACTTTTCCCTTCTTTTCTCTTACCTGTCCATTCTTCATCATGACAAGCGCGTGGCAGGCGTGGTGCGGCCCGCCCGTGGTTCGCCAACCAACCGACAACCAAGTCACCTTCAGGCGAGAAGCGAGGCGACCTCAGGGTCATACCTTCACTAGACAACTTCTTTCTTTCTCTCTCTCTCATACTATTACTCACCTATCTTTCTCTGTCTATCTCTTTCTTTCATTTTCTCTCTTACCTGTCCCTTCTTCATCATGACAAGCGCGTGGCAGGCATGGTGTGGCCCACCCGTGGTTCTTTGCAACCACACCAGATCACCCTCGGGCGAGAAGCGAGGCGACCTTACTGCCATGCCTTCGCTCGAGAGTTTCTCTGAAACACAAGAAAAAATATTGTTTATTGTTCTAGTGATATCATATTATTATGGCCCCGCATGAGGAGAGTCCCACATAACCCACTGGCCGACCTCTTGGATCAGTGGATTATATGCGCAAAGCATTTTCCGATGTCAAAAAACGGTCTTATAGAAGGGACGTGGGCACGTGTCGCGTATCTACATTACCTAAAACAGTCTCATCTTTTTTGTGACGTCACGATTCCATGAAGTTGAAAAGCTTGTATATTTTGTGTTTGCATCCTATTTCGACACCTTGTTTCATACATCGACTAGGCTTTAACTGAACTATTTATTTATGGAATCATTGACTTTAAAAACCTATGCTTAATTATGTTATACTCACTCATAGTCCCATCATTGGTAAGACTGAAGATGTAGCTAGGCCTGTTGGTGCAGAACTTGAGGCCCAGGCGACGCGGCTCCGTCTCCCAGGCCACGCCCACCACGCTCTCGCCGTCCGGCGCGAAAACAACCTGAATAGAACCGTATTTAGTATTGAATTGAAATGAATTCACATTTCCACGTATTCCCACCGGGCACTGGCCGTCAAGTCAGAGTATTACGTGCGCGCCGCATACGTATTGGCGCGCTCTCATATAAACCCCGCTCGGGCGTTTCTATGAAGATGACCTACTCATTTGTATTTACTCTGCTATTGTGTTCCGGCAGTTAGAGGTAAGATAGCCAGTTCCTCCGTGTTTGAGGATTCCGGGTGAAGCTCGCTTCCACCTTCGGCCTGATCGTCACTTACCATCAGAATCAGAATCAGAATCATCATTTATTTGCTTTAAATGTGGTACAGAAGATGGATACAGTTAATGGTTAGATCTCACAATTAGTCATTTCTGACATGCAAATATTAAATTAATTAATTATTAAACATTTCAATAAATTCCAATATTATCAATGTAAGATGTCAATATTAATGTTAATAGTAGAGTCATCAGGTGAGATACAGGCCAAGAGCTTCCTCGTTGTGGATAAAAAAAAAAAAAAGACGCTTGTAATTCTAAAGACGTAATATGAGACTCACCTGTCCCGGGCACCAGGTCTCCGGCAGGCCTCCGAGGACCGAGACCTTCTCGGTCTCCAGCTGACACACCACCACCACGGACAAGTGCTTGCCCACTAGTTGCTCGCCCCAGTCTTGTCTGTACAGGAACTCTTCGCCCTGCAAGAATATCTTTGGTCACACAGCGCCATCTATGCCCAAACTAAGCAAATACAGATAACAGCATATCAGACTATACCATCAACAAAGTTGACGCTTGAACACCTTAAGCTGGGTCTGCAGCGCGTGTTTTGCGCTACACAATCAACAAAAACACGTCAACATTCAACAAAATTGCCTGCAAAAAATGTTGAATGTTGAGACGTTTTTGTTGATTGTGTAGGGCAAAACACGCGCTGGAGACCCGGCTTTAAGGCTCATATTTCTTCACAGCGACTATACCCAACCCTCATTTATTTGTCTATTGTTTCTTTTCAAATAATGGACAAGACAAAATTGTGAGCGGGACTGAGTATGGACATTTCGTGCAAACGTTAATTTTGAAATTGATCATACATCAATCAGTTGATGTACATCAACTTTGTTCAAAGTACATTTTTGTTACAAAATCGCCTATACTTGATACAAAAAGGCCTCTGTGTTTAGTTTGACGTGCCATTGTCTGTTCTATGGGTACCAGATAAGATAATATAACAAACTTTAAACAATTTTTTCTTTGTAAAATATTGTAAAGTGTGCTATCTTTATAGACATTGCGGTCTAATTTGGCTTTCGCGCTTCGCATAAACTTATTTATAGAATAGATAGAATACAATTACTTAATTCAGCACATAACATTTAGGTGCATACATGTATATTTTACTTTATTGAGGCATGCTGAAAAGGCACCCGTTCAGTAAAAATCGTGACAATGACACAAGTCGTCAAGTCACGAAGGTTTTCAGCGGGTACCAACGCACGACGGGGGGGTTACGCGCCCTTTTGACAGTGACGGCACAAAATATAACAGAAGGTAAACTCCATACTAAGCGCGCTCGAGCTACACACACAGACACCGCTCACGTACGCGTTATCTGGGACTGTCTCGGATGAATGCGAGCGCGACTGACGTTCGCTTGAGTCATTTTTTTTATTATTTTTTTATAAATCTTTGGACAATTTCACACAGCGCCAGCTAGCCCCAAAGTAAGCAACTTAACGCTTGTGTTATGGGTGCTAGCTTAACGGATATACTACTTATAGGGGAGACTGGGGCTGGTTTTAACAGGGGTAAATACTAACAGCGTAATTACATAGAACCTATTCGACTTACCACGCTAATTCCAACGCACTTTGTGCCTACGAATAAGCGCGAACGTGTCTAGACCTGTTAGTTGCCGGCCAAGCGTCACGGGAGCAGGTTGCGTCAGACGCCTCCAATTTCACAGGAAAATGAACTTTTTTACGTGTTTAATTTTTTACATTACTCTTTAAATATGTATCGTAGAAAATTGGCTTTGGTATTGCATAAATCCGAAGTTATTGTATTTTTCATTAATTTCAAAGTTTTAATCGAAAATATAACCGGTAAAAGAAAAACAATAATTTTGTGCAAAATGAGGTCGTGGGGTTGGTTTTAACAAAATGCACGGGGTAGGTTCTAACGCGTTAATATTTGCCCCGAACATTGAGTAAGACTGACTTTTATAACCAAAGTTGTATGTTGATTTATTAGAGGAGTATTTTTTTTGTTATTTTATTTGATAAAGATAGATTTAGTAAGTTTTAAGTTTATTACACATGTTTAAACGGCAAGGAGCCGAATTTCAATGATAATTTGATGATCAAAAATTATTTTTTGTTCTTTGGTTTGAGTAATGCTGATTGAGTGAGTCAGTTTATTTAACTAATAAAATTTAAGTTTTCTGTTTATTTTATGAACGGTAAGGAACCGCATTTAATTTTATTAGTGTTTCTAATAAACATTGATTATTATTTTGTTGTTTATCTTAGCCAAAATCCCATTCCCAACTATAAATTATTTCTTACCCCCGCTGTTAAAACTTTCCCCAGCGATGTTAAAACCAACCCCAAACCGGGGGTAAGATCTAACAAGTGACTTGTTTGGCAAAACTCGATTTTTCTCAGATATGGTAATTATTATATACATTTTGTTGTACTTTACGTAAAGCTCATTAAATTTGACATCACGTACCAAAAAACCATGTTTCTTGCTAAAGCAGTTTAGAAAATATTACGCTCAAATCAAAATTTGTTAGGACCAGCCCCAGTCTCCCCTATACTTTTTTTTAATACATAAATATTATACATAGTCACACCCAGACCCGTCACAGAAATTAAAATTCATCATTTCAATTTCTGCCCGGCCGGGAATCGAACCCGGGACCTCTCGGCATAGTAGTCCGTTCTGAAACACTACACCAAACGGCCGACAAATTTTTCATTGTTCTATTACAAATAAATAACGTAAAACACAACAGGACAACCCTAGCGCGATGGCCAAGCGTGGGTATGCAAAGCGAAGTACATAAGTATATGAGTTTACCTTCTGTTATATTTTGTGGTGACGGTTTATTGTTAATTCGTGTCTGTTCGTAGTATACCTACTTGGCAAAAAGGCGCGCAACAGAGGGCGCTGCAGTTGGTAAAAAAAATAACACACACACAGATTGGAAAACAAAAATACCAATAAAATCTGTGAAGATATACAATACACTAACAACAAAATATAATATTACTGCAACGCTCCATCGCTATTTACATACCTTATTATTAGGCGCAGTTTCGCAAGTCCCGCCATTGCACTGTGGCCTCTCCTCGGGCTTCCTCTTGATGTACGGCTCTGGTTTAGGCAGTTTCTTCTCCGCCACGTACAAGACGGCCGACTCGTCGGGCGACCAGTCCAGTCCGCCGAATTCAGCTATAATGTAAAAGGTTGGCATTATGTCTTTATTATTATTATTATTATAGCTCAGATAGCCCACATAGTTTTAAGCATACTCAAAATGAGAAATATTTATGTATATCCTATTGAATGAGTGGAAGGGAAGAGGGGTAAGCTTTTAGGACACTATGTCTTCGCCATTTGACCAGTTAGTTTAGAAGCCATTTTCACTTCTTCAGTTATAAAATCAGTCAGACAAAATGCAGTTTTTTCATTATCTTCTCTCTGAAGGTAATATTGATATCTCAATAACAACCACAGCGAAAACAATGCGGTGTGCTAACTTCTTGTCAGTTTCCGCTGATAACATCAACTGTGGTAATTGTGGTCAAAAGCCAAATGGTTACGTTATTTTGGTTCAACATGATGGGAAAGAAAATAATGTTGAAATGATATAAACCTTGTTGTGCTTTAGTATTATCAGAGTAAATACAAATGAGTAGGTCATCTTCATAGAAACGCACCGAGCGCGATTTATATGTGAGCGCGCCAATACGTATGCGGCGCGCGCACACACTGACAAAATTCGGCGCAACACCCTGCTAATCCCCGCTAAAATTTGTCAGTGTGTGCGTGCACCGCATACGTATTGGCGCGCTCACATACAAACCGCGCTTGGTGCGTTTCTATGAAGATGACCTACTCATTTGTATTTACTCTGGTATTATTGGGGAATGGTGTCAAATGCCCAATTAGGTGAAAATTGCACTCACGGTCGGCATAGACGTCGCCGTGTAAGTCCAACGCGGTAAGGTTGATGCTGTGCAGCAGTCGGTTCTTCCTCCACACCTCCAAGTATTGCTTCTTCACATCCTTGTCCTTTTCTTCACGAATGACTGCCTTGAACGTCTCGCGAGGCGACACTGATGAGAGCACCCTGCAAAAGTGGTATAATTATAAATAATAAATATCCTTGGACATTTTACACTGCGCTTCTAGTCCCAAACTAAGCAAAGCTTGTACTATGGGTACTAGACAACGGATATAAACTACTTAAATACTTTTTTTTTTGTAAATAAATACATACATATTATACATAGAAAACACCCAGCCCAATACAAACAAATATTATTATAAAGTTCATGCACACAAATGTTTGTACTGTGCGGGAATCGAACCCGCAACCTCCGGAATAGTAGTCCGTTTCGAACCACTACACCAAACGGTATGACGTCATTCAATGCTCTCTTCGCCAATTTCTGAGCAGTGTTGCTAAGTGGTGCGCGAGTTAACTATTACGGCTATTCTTAGCATCCATCCATTCAGATCATTCAATTTAACTGGCTCAGAATCTATTATGGAGAACCAAAAACTCCAGTGGCGGATTTACAAATTTGCCGCTAGTAGGCCATTAAATTTTTGCCGCCCCTACCTACTGACTTTTGAAATTCAATACGTTAGTTTAATCCCGTTATTAGTATGATTGTGAACTTAATGATATTTCTGTCAGTTACTAGATTATTATTGCAACCCGCTATGTAATGAAGAGTTTAATGTTGACCTAAAAACAGCAGTATGTACTAATCCTAAGGTGGGCAAAGGCATGACTTAAAAATACCTACACTATATGAACACAGACAAAATAATGTGTGGTCAGTAAACATTGTTTTTGGTAAATATTTTTTATTGGACTTAACAGTTTAAAAACAATACAAACAATTTCTATTAAAATATAACATGTTAACAATTCAATTAATGGTGACAGACAATGCCTAAGTTTTACATTATTTTCTTGCGAGATTTGAAATTTGCAAAATCATTAATTATTTCGACGTATGAAATCTTTTTCATAAGTTCTGACTCTATGCACAAAAGAGATAGCATTAATAGGCCAGAAGAATTAGATTTTAAATCGGAAATAATTCCTACAAAAGATTTTATTGCTTTAATGGCTTCATTGGTTGCCCATTAATACTCTCCTAGGTTTTCGACTTCGACGGAGTTGTGCTTAAGTGGTGCGCCCCCGAAAGGGGCGCTTTTTAGGTTTTCCGGTTATACCACGTAAAGGACTTACCCTATCGAAAAGTGGTCTTCCTGACGGTTGAAGGGCATTTAATCTTGCATTAAATAAGACCAAATTCATATGTTTTGGACAAACCGTTCTCGTGCAAATGTTCGGCAAAGTAGAAAATATGTGTATAATTAATGACCCTCTCCACGTCCAATGGCTCGTTACCCGTAGGCTCCCAAGCCTTGTAAAGGGTCGCCTTAACCAGCGTATCCCTGTCAAGGCTCACGAGTTGGATTCGCTTATCCTTGTTCGTCCCAGCCGTTCCGTTGCTGCCCCTCTTCCTGGCACTCTCCTGAACGACTCTGTGTTACCTAATGTGGCTGCCCCTGTTCCTTGTACCCTCCTGTACGATTGCATTGCTTAGCCATATGCCTGGTCCAAGGTTCGACGCCACAAAATCAACTTCGTACGCGTGAAAATAGTTTAAATACTATTATCCGTGCTTGCAACATTTTTCTTTACTGCTTCGCCTCTATTAGTCGTAGAGTAATTGTATATATCCTATAGCCTTCCTCAATTTATGAGCTATTCAACACAAAAATAATTATTTCAATCAAACTAGTAATTCTTGAGATTAGCGCGTTTAAACAAACAAACAAAAAACTCTTCAGCGTTTTAATATGAACTTGTTGTTGATTTTTGGCGTCGAACCTTAGACCAGGCATACGGCTAGGCAACGTAGTCCTCCAGGAGGATACAAGGAAGAGGGGTAGCCACAGTAGGTAACACAGAGTCGTTCAGGTGAGTGCCAGGAAGAGGTGCAGCAACCGCAGTTAAGGAACGGCTGGGACGAACAAGGATAGGCGCATCCAGCTCGTAAGCCTTGATAGGGTTACACTGGTTGAGGCGCTCCTTTTCAAGACTTGGAAGNGAAAAACTCCATAATAGATAGACACGGGTCATAACGCGACATTTATGAATGAGTTACATTATGTACTCAGGGCTTGACGTTTCGCCTGCTATGCTTCAGCCGAGTTCACAAACAGAATCTTTCTATTTTAGTTGAAATAATACGCGAAAGTTTAAAATCTTATAAAAAATCCCAGTTATTTTTAACTTGATATTTTTTTTAGCACAATATATTTTTTTAAATTGAAATGTTTCCTTTCAAAATTCATCAGATTTAATTAACATACTTTTTTACATCCTCAGTATCATTTTACATCTTAATAAGCTCGCAAAATGTGTATATTGTGACCCCTTTACCTATCCTATTAAAAAAACTAAGCACAGCTGCTTTATAAATCTACGGTCTACACTAATATTGCAAAAAAAAACATTTGATTGTTTGAATTGAACAGGTTCTGAAACTACTGGATTGTTTTAAAAAAAATATTTGACCATTAGAAACCTATATTATTTCTGATGAACATGGGCAGTATGAAGTTCGCAAGATCAGCTAGTGCTATAATAAAATAATACTCACTCAGTACTAATATCAATCCCAAATTCACTCTCTGCTATCACATTGAAGCTGTCATTCAACACATAGTTGTAAAGGAACTTAGTGTTCTTCCCTTTATCTAGATTCTTGACTGACCACCTTGATGATATTTTGGTACCATGTTTAATAAGCCTACCGCCCAAAACGGAAGGTATTTTTGACAATGTTTTGTAGGCATTTATCATATTTTCAATCTGTAAATACAATGAAAATATTTTTTAAGTCATAGAATATGAGTAGTATGTTTTGCTTCACATTCACAAAAAGTAGAATTTATTTGATGTTATAAGTCTTATGATTTGCCTTAAATGGTTTGCAAGTTAGTGACATAAAACCAATTAATTGTCACCCAGTAAATGCAGAAAAAATATTAGTAAAGAAGTTTTCTAAATCAACCAGGTCAGGAATTGACCTAAGGCCTCTTTCATAGAGTCATCCACAACATTAGTCATAGCAGTAAGTAGGTACAATACAAAAAATTGCCAACATACCTGTGATGCCATTTTGATCATATGATCTCTCTGAAAAAATAACGAATCATTAGTAAATTTCATAAAAAGCTTATAACTTCTTAAAAAACAACGTAACATTGTGTCTCCAAGTGATAAAATGTTCAATAAAATTATAGGTAAATTGAAAATTACCAACATTAGACAGATGAGTTTATGTTTTCAGATGAGCATCTTTGTAGGGAGAGTAGGTACAATAGATTACTATTTACTTAACTACAGAGATTACAATACATTAATGAAAGTATTGAAACTGACATTTTTTATTATTAAAATAGAAATGAACTTAACAAGAGCTATAAGAATTGAGGAGTGACAAAAATAAGTGAATAATCAGATTAATTATCACGACATACATTAAAATAAATTGTCAATCGATTATTGATCTGATCTGTAGTCTAGACTTGCAAAAGTAGCAAATTTTATGTACGCCATTTTTATGAGGCATACTTTTCTTACCTGCTACAATAAATCATAGTGAAAAATAAACAGAGTTATGAGTGTTTACTTCAGCAGTAGATAAAGACATTTGAAACACTTATTTCTAAGCTAATGATCACATCTAAACTCTAAACTGGCACAATATGATGTTTAAATTGATAAAGACTATTAAATATCCAAATATCTAGTTGAATTGGAATTTATAAGATTTTTTACTCAGTTCGCTATGAGTTAAAGAAATAAATTATAGCATAGTAGTTAAAATAATTATACATCAGATTTACATAATTTTAGCTAATTAGTCAAAATACTTACGTACTGCTTGTATAATAATACCGGCTTCTATGAACAAAGAGTTGGTTGGAACTTAGATTATTGGAAGGTATTATTTTGGGCTGCGCAAACCGCAAACTCGCAAGATCAGTCAGTCACAAAAATGACAGTCCGAATTTACTGCCCACCAGCCAGTGTTGTTGTTTTTAGTACGCTTGTGATATCTATCGATAGTCCAATATCTAATTTTTTGTTGGTGATATAATGTATTTGATGCTTCCGACTGCATTTGTGAACACTAAGTTGTCTTGTTTTTATCTTTTTTTTTTGTTGTTGGCTCGCCATTTAGTTAAATAACGTACATTTTTGTAAGCTACTTAAGAAACCTTTTATTTTGATACCCCACTATAGGTTTTGAGAGAAAAAAAATATTTTGAAGACATTATGGCTCCTAAAATCAATTTTAACACGAGCCAGTGTCACGATTAAGACGAATTTAACGACACGTCAAGCCGTTTAGGCTGTAGGCCGTGCCAAATAAATATACATACATACCCACATAAATACACTCGAAAAACATAATCATCCTTCTGGCGCAGTCGGGTAAAAACAAATGTATTTTTAGATATTATTAAGATTGATTGAATGGTCATAATAAATGTCTTATAGCCCGACCATCATAAGTTAGTATAGCTCTGGTCGGGCTATACTAACTTATGATTCAAATGGATAATGTTCAAGTCCTTCGATAGTCCTCATAGATATTCGATAATTATTGTCCGACATCACTAGCGTGTAGTGACAGCACCTGGACAGCACCACAGATGACAGCACTGTGGACTGACTGACAGTAAAAACTGTGGTCCGAAATGTCCGAATTTTACTGTTAAACTTGCAATCTCAATAACAATAAAGCACTACACCAGCGTTTTAGAAACAAGAAAAATGTAAAAGAGGACAAACATACGTAACATTGATAATATTTTGCAATTTAAAGTAAAATTACAAAAGTTATCGAAATATTTTCTATCAATTTAATATTAAATTAAAAACCATTCAACTTAATTCGGACTGATCACGGTATGGTCGTCTGCTGGCGTCTGTCTCTGTCTGTCTTTCTCAGTCAGATTTAATTAGGTACGTGCTCTGTGATTCTCATCGGCCGACCGGTACAAAAATACAAATCGGCGTAAAATCAATGGAAGTAAGTTTTAAAAAATGTGAGTGGTTCTACCACACAAAGGGACATAAACTTACTTTTCAGGTGAATACATGAGTACAGAAATGGCTGAAGATTATACTGAAATTCGGTGAACACAAATGTGAGTGAATATACCTATTAATTACTTAGCAGGTAAATAATTATTCTAGCTTTAAATGGTTTTTTAAGTCTGTAACCACAGATTTTGTCGTCACCGACGCCGCAAAGGAGCGAACCTTTTTTTTTATTATACTCCTGTATACAAAAAACAACATATTTTTGACCGTTTGTAAGAAAGAATTCTTTCTTTCTTTCTTTCTATATTTTTGACCATTTGTATGATGTTCGCCCCTTTGTGTTATTGGAGACGTTGTGTAAGGATGTTAATTTGTCCTTTTTAGGTTTCTCAAACACCAAAAAGTGACAACGGAGAAACTGAAAATAATTTTCAAAGTAATTCAACAGCATATTAAGTTATACAGGGTGGAAACGATAAGTGATCTCATTCCATTATTTCTAAACTATACAAGATATCGGAAACAGGTTACTGATCCTGAAAGTGCTTCATGAGCTCTTTCAAACGGTACTGATAATAGGTTACAAAATAAATTAGATCTATCTGAAAATTAATGTTTCCAGCTTTCATACTAAATGTATGTCAGCCACACAATATTAGAGTGTAATTTTTTTCATTGATTAATAATCTCTTAAAATAAAAAACTACTCTTAAAATAAAACCTCTTAATCTTCTAACTCTTAAAAATAGCATTTAATGTAATGTAACAGAGTATAAAGACCCAAAATGACTCCTTGTGGAAGCACAATCTTAAATGTGTTTTATTATTTTAATATTATTTTGTGCATTATTTTTTAATGAAAGGTTTCTAATGTTATAAGGCCCTAGATTAGAACATTGTAGGTATATGATACAAAGTCAAATGCTATGGACAGATCAAAGTGCTTTCATTATGGTATATTAAATAAATAATGATTTTGTAAATGTTTTACATTTATTTTCTAGGTAATAGATCCACAAAATCATACAAATTCAGATACCTGCAGTTATACTAAGGCCGAAGTTAACCTCGAGGTAATGTATATTACAATAGGCCCTTAAATAGGCCTAAGTAAAATTTTAATGTGCTACAATTTGAAATTGTAATGTTGACACTTTTAGGTGAGAAGATTTTCTGAAAATAGTGAAAAAACTAATAAGATTTCAAGTATAAAAAAATAGACAATTTAAAAACTAATGGGTTGCTCTGCTAGAGATTGTTACTCTCTTTTCAGGGGAAACAGGATTTAAAATTGTATAATAAGGGTTTTACATCTATTCTTTTTTTTTTCAGATGATATCAACAAAAGTGTTGTTAGAACGCACCAAATACTATGGTTGTGACCGTTGCAATCTTGTTTTCTTCCGACCAAAAGATGTAAAGATTCATGCAGTTAAACATAAACAAGATATTATGTAAGTATCTTGTAAAAAATCAAGCTATCTTTTACATAACGCGTGACTGAAAATTTAGGGGCTTATTCCACTATTCCCCGTTGACAATCCCCGTCAACGGGGATTAGTGAACTTTTTGTTCACTACTACCACTTTGGTACCCGCTCCAATAGCCATAACCAATATATATTTCAAAAGGCCTTTAGATGTAGGAAAATGTCTGCTATGGGGCCAGTTCTAATTCACGTTTTGAAAGCAGTAATTCCACTAAGTATTATAATGTGTGTATAACACAATCATCCATGTATACGAGTATGTACTATGACTACAATCTATTAATATAACTAAAAGAAGCCTTGAAAAGGAAAGGATTATACCTACGATGAACTACCCAAGCTATTAGCCCTTTATTCGCTTTCATCATCATCATCATTATCATTTTAGCCATAAGACGTCCAGTTGAACATAGGCCTCCCCCAATGATTTCCTCAATGGCCGGTTGGTGGCGGCCTGCATCCAGCGCTTTCCCGCTACCTTTATAAGGTCGTCGGTCCATCTTATGGGTGGACTTATTGGGTCTTGTGGATTTATTCGCTTTAGCAACCCATAATAAAACCCTTAAAAATAATAAAACTCCAACCCCTTTATTAATAAAAGTTACACCCTAGTTGAACTCTGATTTAAATTGTCATTTGGTATGGAAATGTCATTTTAATCCAAGGTTCATCCTAGGTATAACTTTTTTTTAAATAAGGGGGTAGTGTTCTTCAAATAAAAACATTTATTTCACAATTATCTCTACCAATAATTATAGAGTTAAGGAAGGATGCTGGAGCAGTAAACCCTTTATGCCTCGCATAACCTAAGTACCATAAGATGGACACGTATGATACTTCGGTTACACAAAAAGTATGTTTATCTTCGAACGCAACCAGATCTGAGGCTGGTGGCGATAGTAAATGTTGTTCGTCTTGGTAAGACCTTTCAAATGACACTACAAACATAACTAGGTATTGGAGCCGGGTATCATTTTGCAAAAAAATATGTTTATCTTCGAACACAACCAGATCTGAGGCTGGTGGCCATAGTAAAAGTTGTTCGTCTTGGTAAGACCTTTCAAACGACACTAGAAGCATATCTATTGGAGCCGGGTACCATTTTGCCCATTGTCCTTTAGAGCTTTTGTAGAAGACGTATTTTTAAGCTCTAGAATTTCAGTCCGTGTTTAGAAATATACTAAATTGTAATTCGTATACTTATGATTTATATTATGTCTGTCCTAATAAAGAAAATGAAAATATTGATGGGCACAACCGAATAGTTAAAATAATAACTGGGTAATATTTCGTCAGATAGTGTAGAACTGTAAAGGCATAGATTCGGGATGATAGATAAAAAAAAATGTATATTAGTAATTATATCGCTTTTAAACAATCTGGTCATCTTGTCCTAGCTCAGGGCCTTCATTTTTCTAATTTGTAATTACAACTGATGTGCAATTCGGTATCACGGTAAGTTCACGAGCTAACAAGACGAAACAACAGATGCACTTTCCATTAAAAGTCCGAAAACCTTATTTTTGAAACTAAAAGCAAATGTTCGTGCAGCGTTTGAATTGCGTTTGAGAAAAAGTAGTTTTCTATCAGCTTTTGAGTAAAGGCGCAGTTGCGCTCCGTTTACGTTTCAACTTCGTTTGAACTAGATGTCAAAACGCTACCGCGATATGGATTTCTCAAAAAGCAGATTTTCGTTCGTCTTCAGATTAGCAACAAAGAAAATAAATTGTCAATTTTGTGCTGCTAATCATCGTATAATTTTCCAGGAAAAGTGTGGACGACGACGACATCGACGACAGATTCGTAAAGCGTTTCTCGTGTGACGTGTGCGGGCGGCGCTTCGTGCAGCTCGGCACGCTGCGGGCGCACGCGGCGCTGCACGAGCCCTTCCCGCACGCCTGCCCCTGCGGCGTCGGCTTCTACCGCGCGCACGACCTCCGCGCCCACAGGAACCTGCTGCACCTCGACCAGATACAGCAGACGCTCGCCGCGCTCACCCACAGGCAACAGAGGGCGTCCAGACACAAGATCCGGCAGACAAAAGTGGTTAAAGCAGCCAAAAAGGAACCGAAGCTGAAAATAGTCGAACCAGTAAAAAAAGTAAACAAACAAAAACGTTCGACCGAGACCCTAACAAGATACAGGTCTGAAGACGAGAATTTTATCATACCAAACGATGACAATAGTTTCTCATGTCCGACTTGCTATAAGATATTCAAATCTAAGCAAAGCGTGGTGGTTCATCTCGCCACCCACGCCCCGGTGAAGCCGATCCTCTGCAGTTATTGCGGCAGAGAATTTAGAAGGCTGCAAAATTTGAGGTCACATGAGCGGATACACAGAGGGGAGAAGCCGTTCAAATGCTCGTTTTGCCCCAAAGTGTCCGGCGACGCGTCGACGCACAAGCGCCATGAGCGCACGCACACCGGCGTCAAGCCCCACAGGTGCAACTTCTGCGGGAAGAAGTTCGCCGACGCCAGCGGGCTCAACGCTCACCGCAAACGGCACGAAGGCACAAAAGACGTCAAATGCCCGCATTGCCCCAAAATGTTCTGGGATAAAAAGACCTTAAGACAACACATCCCCGTTCACAGTGACGAAAAGAACTTCGAATGTCAAATATGCTCAAAAAGATTTTCGCAAAAATGTTACCTCAGAGTGCACTTGAAAGTTCACGGAGTTGAAAGATTTGAGTGTGACTACTGTGGGTTCCTTTCTATACACAAATATAATTTAATGACACACATACAAAATAAGCACATGCATAAAAAGGAACCGAAGCCGAAAATTACAGTCGATCCAGTCAAAAAACAAAAACGTTGGACTGAATCCACGGCGACGAGATACAGGTCCGAAGAAGATAATCTTATCAAACCAAACGACGACAATAGCTTCTCGTGTCCAACTTGCTATAAGATATTCAAATCTAAGGACAGCATGGTGGTTCATCTCGCCACCCACGCCCCGGTGAAGCCGATCCTCTGCAGTTATTGCGGCAGAGAATTTAAAAGGCTGCAAAATTTGATTTCACATGAGCGGATACACAGAGGGGAGAAGCCGTTCAAATGCTCGTTTTGCCCCAAAGTGTCCGGTGACCCCTCGACGCACAAGCGCCATGAGCGCACGCACACCGGCGTCAAGCCATACAGGTGCGACTTCTGTGAGAAGAAGTTCGCCGACGCCAGCGGGCTCATCGCTCACCGCAAACGGCAGCACGAAGGCACAAAAGACGTCGAATGCCCGCATTGCCACAAAATGTTCTGGGATAAAAAGGCCTTAAGACGACACATCCCCGTTCACAGTGACGTCAAAAAAGTAACAAAACAAAAACGTTCGACCGAATCCCTAACAAGATACAGGTCCGAAGACGAGAATTTTATCATACCAAACGACGATAATAGTTTCTCGTGTCCGACTTGCTATAAGATATTCAAATCTAAGCGAAACGTGGTGATTCATCTCGCCACCCACGCCCCGGTGAAGCCGTACGCGTGCAAATTGTGCGGTCAGAGGTTCACGCAAACGTCGGGGTTCTACAAGCACATGAAAGTACACAGCGGCGTCACGGAGTTCCGCTGCAGTTTTTGCGGCAAAGAATTTAGAAGGCTGGAAAATTTGAGGTCTCATGAGCGGATACACAGAGGGGAGAAGCCGTTCAAATGCTCGTTTTGCCCCAAAGTGTCCGGCGACGCGTCGACGCACAAGCGCCATGAGCGCACGCACACCGGCGTTAAGCCCCACAGGTGCAACTTCTGCGGGAAGAAGTTTGCCGACGCCAGAGGGCTCATCGCTCACCGCAAACGGCACGAAGGCACAAAAGACGTCAAATGCCCGCATTGCCCCAAAATGTTCTGGGATAAAAAGACCTTAAGACAACACATCCCCGTTCACAGTGACGAAAAGAACTTCGAATGTCAAATATGCTCGAAAAGATTTTCGCAAAAATGTTACCTCAGAGTGCACTTGAAAGTTCACGGAGTTGAAAAATTTGAGTGTGACTACTGTGGGTTCCTCTCTATACACAAATATAATTTAATGACACACATACAAAATAAGCACATGCATAAAAAGGAACCGAGGCCGAAAATTACAGTCGAACCAGTCAAAAAACAAAAACGTTGGACCGAATCCGCGGCGACGAGATACAGGTCCGAAGACGAGAATTTTATCATACCAAACGATGACAATAGTTTCTCATGTCCGACTTGCTATAAGATATTCAAATCTAAGCAAAGCGTGGTGGTTCATCTCGCCACCCACGCCCCGGTGAAGCCGATCCTCTGCAGTTATTGCGGCAGAGAATTTAGAAGGCTGCAAAATTTGAGGTCACATGAGCGGATACACAGAGGGGAGAAGCCGTTCAAATGCTCGTTTTGCCCCAAAGTGTCCGGCGACGCGTCGACGCACAAGCGCCATGAGCGCACGCACACCGGCGTCAAGCCCCACAGGTGCAACTTCTGCGGGAAGAAGTTCGCCGACGCCAGCGGGCTCAACGCTCACCGCAAACGGCACGAAGGCACAAAAGACGTCAAATGCCCGCATTGCCCCAAAATGTTCTGGGATAAAAAGACCTTAAGACAACACATCCCCGTTCACAGTGACGAAAAGAACTTCGAATGTCAAATATGCTCGAAAAGATTTTCGCAAAAATGTTACCTCAGAGTGCACTTGAAAGTTCACGGAGTTGCAAGATTTGAGTGTGACTACTGTGGGTTCCTTTCTATACACAAATATAATTTAATGACACACATACAAAATAAGCACATGCATAAAAAGGAACCGAGGCCGAAAATTACAGTCGAACCAGTCAAAAAACAAAAACGTTGGACCGAATCCACGGCGACGAGATACGGGTCCGAAGAAGAGAATCTTATCAAACCAAACGACGACAATAGCTTCTCGTGTCCAACTTGCTATAAGATATTCAAATCTAAGGACAGCATGGTGGTTCATCTTGCCACCCACGCCCCAGTTAAGCCGATCCTCTGCAGTTATTGCGGCAGAGAATTTAGAAGGCTGCAAAATTTGAGGTCACATGAGCGGATACACAGAGGGGAGAAGCCGTTCAAATGCTCGTTTTGCCCCAAAGTGTCCGGTGACCCGTCGACGCACAAGCGCCATGAGCGCACGCACACCGGCGTCAAGCCCTACAGGTGCGACTTCTGTGAGAAGAAGTTCGCCGATGCCAGCGGGCTCATCTCTCACCGCAAACGGCAGCACGAAGGCACAAAAGACGTCAAATGCCCGCATTGCCCCAAAATGTTCTGGGATAAAAAGGCCTTAAGACAACACATTCCCGTTCACAGTGACGTAAAGAACTTCGAATGTCAAATATGCTCAAAAAGATTTTCGCAAAAATGTTACCTCAGAGCGCATTTGAAAGTTCACGAAGTTGAAAGATTTGAGTGTGACTACTGTGGGTTCCGTTCTAGACACAGATATAGTTTAAAGAATCACATACAAATGCATATGTTTAAGTTTACTGATAAAAAGAAACACTACTCTATTGTGCATAGTAAGGGTGCCCACATGTGTAGTTATTGTGATAAAAAATTCAAAAATAATTTGTTATTGAAGAAACATTATATGCGAGTTCATAGCAATGTAACGAACGAGGTTTGAATGGGATTAATGTGGTGAACGATTTTATGAAAAATCTAATCTTGTATAGGTACCATATACTTTCACAACATTCAACGTTGTTGTATTGTTAAATTGTTATAATTTGCTGTGAAAAGTTCATTTTCGATTTGAAGAAACACAAAGCTAAAAATCATAATCCTCCTTCTGACGCAGTCGTGTAAAAAGAGTGTGCCAGTAAGTTTTACTCTTGTTTTTTTGTTTTGGTCTGTGTCAAAAGAGTGTGTCGCTGGGTTCAAATGCGAAAGTGACAAGGTCCTTGCGTCAAAGAGAAAGTTCAAAGAAATCAATACCCTGTATAGTTTCTAACATGGCTAAAATCGGAACCAGCGATCCGGTATTGACGGTGGCGCCCCGCTGTCAATGTCACGGATAGGACAGTTCAGTATATTGGAACTTTATCTGTGGCCAAAGTCAGTAAATCTAATTTTGTCATTGCGGCCTTTGTCCCAGTAAAAACCGAGATTCAATGCGTCAACACGTAGAACGGAACTGGAATGTAAATAGAATATAATTGATAAAAGGGCTTATTCCAATAATCCCCGATGACAATCCCCGTCAACGGGGATTAGTGAACTTTTTGTTCATTAATCCCCGTTAACGCCAAATGGAGCTCATAATGGGGAATATGGGGATTAATGAACTAAAAAGTTATTTATAGCCTGACCAGGAACATAAAAACCCTCGCCATGTTGCGGAAAACTAATGGTACTAATTTCTTTTAATGGTAACAGTAACTGAAAACTTCATTGACATGTCACCTTGCATGTCAGAGTGTAAACAAACTTTATTTTAAATGTGCGCAATTGATTTTGTGAATTGAATAGCTAAAATCTTTTTATAGTCGTGAAAGAAAAGTGGTTCACAATGTGTTAAAGTATTTGTCGAAGAGAAATACTAAGGGTTCGGACAATATTTTCATTGAATAATGTTTTCGACAAAGGTTGTCAAATTGACTGACATGTTTATCGTATAGTACAGTCCACTATGAAAATTAGCTGTGGTTTGTTTCAACTACCTATTTTAAAGTTTTTTGTCACTTTCTAAGTGTTGAATTTTATGGAATTGGGAAAGAAGTACCGAGTTTGAAGCGTTCATGAGCAGACATTGCAGTTGAATATTCAAGTTCTGAATTTGATTATTGATGAATAATAAAATAAATCCTACTAACTCGATTGATGGTTTCATTTAATTTATTTAAACCAGGTTACCTATAATAATATGTTTTCGTTAATTTATGAAAATATGAAGCGTTCATGAGCAGACATTGCAGTTGAATATTCAAGTTCTGAATTTGATTATTGATGAATAATAAAATAAATCCTACTAACTCGATTGATGGTGTCATTTCATTTATTTAAACCAGGTTACCTATAATAATATTTTTTCGTTAATTTATGAAAATATCAAATTAGCCCGTAATCCTGAATCCTGATACATAAAGTTAGCCTATTAATTTAACACAGGTACGACTGTACTCAGTGTTGCACTATCAAATGCCATTGTCGCGCCTCTATGCCAGGGTTTTTATGTTCCTGATCAGGCTATAATTAATTTAATTATTTTTTTAAGTATTGTAATTAGGCTTAAATTTAATTCGATCAATAAGCGAGTTCTTATCCAATAATAAATAGAAGGTACCTGATTCATGCATTAGTATTTTATTTTTAACGTAATGGTAATAGCTCAAATTGGCGTTAACGGGGATTATTGAACAAAAAGTTCACTAATCCCCGTTGACGGGGATTGTCAACGGGGAATCGTGGAATAAGCCCATAAAAGTTGAGATCATGTTTTGTCAAGTTAAAAGGTTCTGTATTTGTATATGTTAAGGCTAAAGATAGTTGTGAACATAAACTTAAGATTAGCCGGCTAAACTTAAATTTATCTTCGAGAAGCAGCTAAAGTTCGATAGCATGTTAGTTTGCGTCGTGATATTCCATCTTTAGCCGGCTAATGTGCACATTAGCCAAAACGAAACGGCTAAAAATGTATTCGATGGGCGCGCCATCAGGCCGGCGGAGGGCTTGAGGGGGCGGTGGGGAGACAACGCGCGCGTGTTTTATTTTGTAATTTTAAATACCTACAGAAGATTCAATTGTAATGACCATATGGTTCCTTATTATTTTATTTTAATGATTAGGTAGATATTGTTTTAAGTGATTAATATTTTGTTATTGTAATAATTGTAATTTTGAATACCTACATAGGTTCATAAAAGTATGTGTCATGAAAGTGATTATTTTTAACATGTTCCGCCGCGGTAACGGCACATACAGTAAAGGTGGAATTCATTCATATTCTGGGTCTCGCCGTTTTCACGAAAATCAATCTAAAAATCACTACGGCAACAACCGTCGATTTTACATTAGAGTTTCATAGAGAGCAGACTTGTTGTTGCAAAATATTGTGAACAAACAGTACGGGTATAGGTGTATGAAACATTTATGTGAAGATTGTTAGTGTCATAGTGGACTGGAGTACAGCGTCGGAACGTGTTAATAAAGTTTTCGTGTCAAAATAGTAAACATTATTACATTGTTTCCTTTTCCATTTCCTTCTACATTTTTAGCCAAGGGTCTGCGGTAACACTTAAGTTTAGCCGGCTAAGATAGAAGAAACTAACATTAACACCTCGTCGAAGATAAACTTAAGTTTAGCCGGCTAATTTTAAGTTTATGTTCACACCTATCTTTAGCCGTAACATATTAGATATTACTAATACTATTAAAATAGTACATAAAATTAAATGTCAAACTAAAAATGAGTTTTACTCTTAGCCTTTGCATGTCTTATAATCTTTTTGCTTTATCATGCTCTGTGAGCGCTTTTCGAGACCAACATTGAGCAAGACTAAAGCTTTGTTTGCACTGGTCGAGTAATTTAGTAGTGCAACTACAGAATGTAATTCAACTTTATTTGGTGTTCGGACATGTTTAGCACTAAATTACTCGCCACTCGACAAGGCATAAGACTGGGTTGCACTTCTTTATCTGTGGTTGCACTCTTAACAAATTTCAAAAGTGTATCTGTCGACTTCTTGGCGGGAATCTGAAGCGTCATAATAGCGGTTTTGTTTTATTTCCTCAAATTCGTGTTTGGGCGACTATTCATGTGTAATAATGGTGGATTATTAACCATTGAGTGTGGGCAAGTGAAGCAAAACAGTGCATCGTGATTCTTCTGGTTCTCTCAAGTTGTCCATAGGTCTCAGTAAAGCACCACAACTTTACTCAGACTCAAAGGGTGGGAAGGGGTATCATCTATCATCCTACATTATATCATTACTTGATCTCATTTTGTATCTCGTATCTAAGCTCGTATCGTATAGGTAAGTACTTGAAAATAGCACAAATCAAGTCGCCCTCGACGTGTATTGCCAACATCATCAAAAAAGAAGAAGAAGTATATCAGTCTGTTAGTCTCATTAATTTATTACTTGCTCAGTGATTTTACGTTATGCTGCTTTTACACTGCGCGGAAATTAGCCAAGTCAAGTAAAAAAAACAGTGTGGTGGGGATGAAAAATGAATGAAATCCGCCAGTACGTGCGCTCTGTGCTGTGACTGTCTCTTGCTGTCACTCTTTGTCTGTGCCACAGAAGAATAATGTCTTCTTCTTCTTCTCCTCTATGCTATGCCTCTATGGCTATTGTGTTTCCACGTTTGCCCCCTTTTGTACCCTTTGCACCACCCAATGTCACGTGAGCGAAGAATAATTATGTCTAGAACTCTTAATTTTAAATCGACGGAATTTTGATATTTCAGAAGTGTTGCCAACATTGAAACATTCCCACTTACCACTAAGAATGGAGAGCATTTTCACAAATTAAAAAATAATCCTTTCGTGAATTTAAGGTTGCAATTGAAAAACTAAGACTTAAAAATGTACTGATCATTAGTAGATGGTTATTTAAGTTTTTATTAACACATTTTTGAAGTTACAAAAAATTAGGAACATTATTTTTCTATTACTGGACTCCCTGGCCAATAATCCATAGGTTACAAACCTTTTTTATGAAAATCCTTTTGTTAATAAAATCTTCGCTTCATAAAATAGCCAATTTAACAAGATGCCAATTTTATAATCCAAGTTGATTATGATGGTTTTTCTATTTAATCTCTAAAATGTACATAAAATAATTAGTGTACATTGAATTCACAAAACAAACAATAGTTCATTCTTGTAAGTTGTACTTGATGAAATTTCATTTTAATAATTCAAAGCAAAAAAGGCTTATTACTAGGCATGGAAATGATTGCTATTTTCCGTTCATTTTCATTTCATGAAATGATGATTTTTATTTATGTGATTTCACATGTGAAATTTCACAGGCAATGATTTTTATTCGCAGTGTTAAAATATAGCTCTTTCATATAATGTGCTACTTTTAATGAAGTATGAATTATGATGAACGATTGCTAATTAGCTACCTATATTGAATGTGACTTAATATTGGAAACGTTAAAAGTTACCGTAATCGGGACTCAGGTGTGATTAATGAAATTCATTTCATATGACTTTTCACCTGCTATTCATGAAATGTTCCATGCCTAACTTATTACATCTGAATTGTCAAAAAATGACAGCTGTCAGAATTCCGTCAATTTCCGTCGAATTAAAAATCGGACTTTTTTTAGTCTGCTGTGCTGTGGCCCGGTACGAAAATCGAAAATAAAGTGTAGCATAAATTAATAAAATTTTATTAATCTAAGGTACCTTTTAGACAAATGCTCTGTTATAAAAACAAAAGATAGAAGTTAAAAATGTGAGTGCCTCTACTAATAAACACTATTCATGATATTACCTAAGTATTTATACGTAACTAAAATAACTATAACCTCAACTCAACTCTTAGGTTGAACTTGTAAACTAATAGCTTTTAAGACAAAGATGGTAGGTATTTATCCTATTCTACGTATAAATGTATTGCTCCTCCTTTTTTTTTTCAATTTTGCAGGTATAAAAGTTTATGTTAAACAGTGTTAAACTAATTCACACAAGCTTTTGTTTTCTTTTGACACTTGCTTGCTACTATCACAATCCTTACCTACCTGTCTGTGATTAGTATAAAAGTTCTTACATTACAAATTGAAATGAATGGAATATTTTAATGTAATATTGTATTGCTTTGTTCTAGGTAGAAGAACCTTCTAAAAATGTTGACAAAGTTAATGATCCATGACTGAAGTTGCTGATTTAAATGTAAATTCAAATTGAATTTGTTTTTTAATACTTAATTTTAAAAAATTGGTACAGAAATGGCTGAGGATGACACTGAAACTAATTTGAACATGAATGGGACTGATGATAATACTAAGGTGGTATTTATTTGTTTTAGCTTTCAATATTTTCATATAAGAATAATTTATGTTAAAAACATCAGATAAAAAATAGTTGATATGTTATGAAAGTATTATTAGCAACATATTTTTTGTCAATAACCATCGGTTTGAAAATGTTTAATAATGTTTGTCTTCTAGGTTTTACAACCACTGAAAAGTAACAATGAAGAAAATGAAAATTTTGACAGTAATTCAACAAATAAAATGGTAATTCAATTATTTATTTTATTAACCAAGATACTAATATTTCACTCACTATTGGTTGATTTTTTTTAATATGCACTTAATTTTAGGTAATGGTACCTGGTGAAATTATGAATGAAATATCACAAAGCAATAATAATTTGATTACAAATGACTTAGATTTGAAGCTAGAAACTGATGCAGAGGTAATTTAAACATTATTTATATTTTTTATAGTGACATGTCCAGGGCTAAGTCCAGGGTTCGAAAATATCATCACAAATATTGGATAATTATATTCCCAGCTTCACACTTACTTATAACTTTCCTCGTAAATCATTATATTTTGATGAAAATTACATTAAAATCCATTGCATAGTTTAAATTAAAGATCTAAGCATACAGACACTGGGAGGGGGCATTTTGTTTTATAATATGTAAAAATGTGGTGTGTTTACCCATCAACAAACAGTAGTACAGTCAACAGCTTCAAGCTATACATTTTTGTCGCCAAACATTTACCTATCACAGCCACCTAACGTGCCACAGTGTTCATCTTGATGTACTGACACCTGTACATTGAGATTGAATGGCCTTGTTTTAGGGAATTGATACAATGCAACACATTATTGATAAAACACACATGATAATAATGATCATACTAGATAATGGTGATAATGACACTATGAAAACCGCTTCTGTACATAGTAAATAAATAGATATTTATGATTATTAAATAAGTGCATGTAAAGTATGCTTAATAGTGAAATATTTCAAATATTATTATTATTTCAGGTCATGGAACCATCTATTATTGTTAATAAAAATTCACATGATAGTTCAGACAAGAGTTTCAATGTGAACAATAATAATATTGAGGTACTTAATTGCAATATTTTAAAAGATTTCAGATTAATGATAAACTGAGAGTAATATTATATTATGTCCTTAATATTATATTTCAGGTAAACAAACTGTCTAATAATAACAATGAAAAATGTCCTGACACCTTAGTCAGCAGCACAACTAAAGATGAAGATCAAAATACTACCATTTCTGAAGTAAATATTACAAAGGTAATCTAGTCAAATGTATAGATAGAACATTCATAGAAGCCTATAAATGCACAGATTAATCATTGTCTAGTAACAGTCCTTTGCTAAATTTGGAGTTTTCCCCCTAAGACGTGCTAAGGAGTTTGAACTGTCTCGATTTTCTTATAGCCAGTCATCCTGCTAACTGTTTAAAAGTATGGATCCATAGAGTTTGGTTTTCTAGAACTTCTGAAATAATGAATTGTTTGTAACTCTAAGAAAAGGTATTTAACGAATAAAGTATAAATGAGGACCTAGCATGAGTCCTTGTGGAAGTCCAATCTTAAAATTTATTTCAATTTTTATAAAAATGTAGGAATGCTTTATTATTAAAATAGGTTTCAATCACAAAACTAGTACTGTTACTAGTTTTGTAGTTATGTGGTACAAAGTCAAACGCTAAGGACAGGTCAAAATGCTTCCGTTATGATGTTGTAAATGTTTTTTTTAATACAAATTTATTTATTTTCTAGGTACTAGACCCACAAAATAATTCAAATTTAGACAACAGCAGTAGCAGCAATACTAAGGTCGAAGTTAGTCTCGAGGTAATTTATTACATAGGGCTAAGTTAAAATGTAATGTGGTACAATACAATTTATAATATAATAATGTTGAAATTTTTAGGTGAGAAGAAGTCCAGAAAATTGTCATAAAACGAATAACATTTCAATTGTAAAGTTAGAGCATGTAAGTATAAGCGAGTATTTAAAAAAGGTGCAGTCCTGTTGTCCCCCCTGCTTGGCCCCCCTAGGGGAGCCAACAGGATTTCGAAATCCTGTTGTCCCCCCTGGCTAGGGGAGACAACAGGACTAGATTTTTAATCAATATTCATCACTGTAGGTTTCTCTGCTGAGAATTGTATTGTCACTCTTTTTGTAGACGAAATAATTTTAAAAATGTTTTATTGTCAGGGTTTAATACTGAAGCCTTACTAACCACGCATTTTTTTTTTCAGATGATGTCAATAAAAGTGTTGTTAAAACGCACAAAGTACTACGGATGCGACAAATGTAATCTTGTATTCTTCCGACCAAAGGATGTAAAACTCCATGCAGTAAAACATATACAACCTACGTAAGTATCTTTTTAAAATTATCACGTTATTTATATTTTATGCTAATATCTTTTAAAAATATTTATATGATCAACCAAAAACTTATACTAGAATGAAGAAGACGACACTATCGACACATATTACTTACTAGAATGTACGTATATTATGTGCCGTCTTTTTTTTATTGCGCTGATTCTGCTCCACACTGATGGCTGGAGCCTATAATAGACGGTATTGTTTGTTTACACATACAATGTCACTATTTTATCGCAATTTCTCACAAAACTTGCGCGCAAAGGGCAAACCATAAATAAAAATAAATAAAGGCAAATAAGTAAAATCATCAAACTTCTAACGCTCGTAACTCAGTTCAGACTGAGTTTAGAAGTATACATGTTGTAGTAAGTTTGGTTTATTACACTATTTTGTCATCAAAAAACAAAGTTTAGTCGATGGCCGCGCGAAAAAAAAAAGACGCCACCTTCCATACAAAATCTGGCATTGCCATTTATTCTGGGTAGTGAATAGTCAGATAGTTTAGAGGCGGATATTATTAGAATTAGTTAAAGAAATTGTAATTGTATCGCTTTAGAATCTGGCACATAAAATATTTGAAAAACATTTTCTTAAAATCAATCAAAAGTTAGCTCATTGTGCCATCTGCTTAACTCCTTTTCTGATGGGGAGCATTGAGCATTGTGGGGCTGATCATCATATAATTTTCCAGGAAAAGTGTGGACGACGACGACGCCGACGACAGATTCGTGAAGCGTTTCTCGTGTGACGTGTGCGGGCGGCGCTTCGTGCAGCTTAGCACGCTGCAGGCGCACGCGGCGCTGCACGAGCCCTTCCCGCACGCCTGCCCCTGCGGCGTCGGCTTCTACCGCGCGCACGACCTCCGCGCCCACAGGAACCTGCTGCACCTCGACCAGATACAGCAGACGCTCGCCGCGCTCACGGAACGGGAACAGAGGGCGTTCAAACACGAGATCTGGCAGCCGAACGTCCTTTACACCGTCAAAAAGGAACCGAAACCAGAAATTAAAGTCGAACCGGTCAAAAAAGTGAAAAAAACCAGGCGTCGGACCGGATCCATGACGGCGACGTACAGGTGCAAAGAAGAGAATTTAATAATAGCAAACGACGACAAAACTTTCTCGTGCCCGACCTGCCGTAAGGTGTACAAAACGAAGCGCAACGTGGTGGTGCATCTCGCCTCCCACGCCCCGGTGAAACCGTACGCGTGCAAATTGTGCGGTCAGAGGTTCACGCAAACGTCAGGGCTCTCCACGCACATGAAGATACACAGCGGCGTCAAGGAGTTTCGCTGCAGTTATTGCGGCAAAGAATTTCTAAGCCTGCACAATATGAGGAATCACGAGCGGATTCACACGGGGGAGAAGCCGTTCAAATGCTTGTTTTGCCCCAAAGCGTTCAGCGACCCGTCGGCGCTCAAGCGCCACGAGCGCACCCACACGGGCGTGAAGCCCTACGAGTGCAGCTTCTGCGGGATGAAGTTCAGCGACGCCAGCGGGCTCATCGTGCACCGCAAACGGCACAGCGGCACGAAAGACGTCAAATGTCCGCATTGCCCCAAATATTTCTGGAATAAAAACGCCTTAAATGTACACCTCACCGTTCACAGAAACGAAAAGAACTTCGAATGTCAAATATGCTCCAAGAGATTTTCGCGGAAATGTTACCTCAAATTACACTTGGGAATTCACGAAGATAAAAAATTTGAGTGCGACTACTGTGGGCACCTTTCTGGGAACAAACATAATTTAGCAACCCACATACAAATTAAGCACATGCATATATTTCGTACAGAAAGATTTGAGTGCGACTACTGTGGGTTCCGGTCTCGAGTCAAACTTAATTTAATTAAGCACATACAAAATATGCACATGTGTATGTTTACTGATAAAGTTAAACACTACACTGTTGGGAATGAGGGTGTTCATATGTGTAGTTATTGCGATGGAAAATTTAAAAAGAATGTTTTACTCAAGAGACATTACATGCAAGTTCATAGCAATGTAACGAGATATGAATGTGATGAATGTGGTAAACGGTTTTATTTGAAATCGAGTCTTCGGTATCATATATTTTCACAACATTCAACACTCTTGTATTGCCATACTTGCCGGAAGAGTTTCATTTCAGAATCCTGCTTGAAGAAACACAAAGCTAAAAAAAACTGTGTCTCCGAGTTCAAATGTGAGATTTGTGACAAGATTCTAACGTCTAAGTCCGGTTTTGTATCACATTTGAATGTTCATACTGAAAAATTGAATTTTCATTGCGACATTTGTCCAAGCAAATTTAAAACCAGATCTTTAATGCTTCGACACCTTAAATTCAGTCATAAATATATTTACCAGACTAAATCAAAACGTTCTAAATAGTGATGTTCATTCAATTATTGAAATACTTTGTAAACTTGTAATTTTTGAAGACTGAAGTTCACGGTCCACTACTCTATTGTTACACAAGACATTCCGAACTTTCGAAGTACAATTAATTTCCATACCCAGCTTTTACTGTTGATTGTAACAAATACATTTAAACTCATGGACCCGTTCGAAAAAAAATTGCTTTTTTATTTTTAATGTCGCCGTGAACCAGTTGGAAATCAAAGTTTGAACTTACATTTCTTGAAAATAATAGAGGCTGAAATAATAGGACCTTTGGGAATAAGCCAAAATGTGGCACATTGTTGTAATCGTTATGGAATTTTGTTGGCAAAAGAACAGATTATACATAATATAAGATGTTATTGTATTCAAATATTATATTATTATGATCTGTGCGATTGCTTTGAGAAGTCAAGTAATACCCATACAACAATCCAGGCTAGTTGATGACCCAGCCCAGAGCATACCTACTTTTCTCCCATAAAATGCCCATAAATGGTTATGGCGAAATATTTTCGGCGAGTCAATTGATTATTTTGGTTTCAAACTTAAAAATCAAATTTTAATATCAATTGAAAAGTAGGTAATAAGGGCTCTTTGGGCTATAATTGTGGTATTTTAGAATAGACGTGCCTTATAAACTTAATGTTAACTCATTTAGTTAAATAAAAACAAGAGGTTTTTATGTAATTGATTGTCAAAATCATTTAGCTCGCCATTTATTCTATAAATAGGTACTTCGAGAATGTAGCATTGAGTTATATTGTAGCTATTTGGTATTTTTTTCCCTATTCCTAGTGTAACGCAAAATGGTGCAACTCATCGGGGACAAAGCTAAAAATTGTGTTCATTAATAAATATTAAGGTTCTGAATAAATTATATTAATGCTCTCTCTCTCTTTAATCTCCGAGAGCCAGTAACATGAAAAATTACTAGTTACAGGACCTATTTTTTATTGTTGGAATGAGAGAAAAATCATATTATCAAAGTATAAATCAGTTATGGCAAAAGTATTATTTATTCGCATTCCACTGTGCTATTGTTGTGATTTTACGCAGTTTAAGTTTTGTTATAAGACAAATAAATTTTTGGAAACATGAGAAATGAAATTGTTTAACCTTATTAATTAAAAAATATATTAAGAATGTTGTCAGTTCCATTGTTTCCATTTTAATGTTAAGTTTTGAATGATAAATTATTATGGTTCATCGTTGATATGAATCTCAAGAAATACTGTGTTTTATATCATTTACAATTAGTATTCTATTCCTATTATACCGGGTTACCTACGCCATATCGAATGACAAATGATCGAAAATCAAAATATCGAATACGTTTCATCGAACGATCAAAATATCGAACGATCAAAATACCGAATGCTCAAAATATCGAACGTTCAGAATATCGAACGATCAAAATATCGAAAGTCGATATAGACGTTTTTATTAAATTTCATCATGCATCATTTCTGAACTTTCCTTTTTGGGACAGGCTAGGCTTATAATAGGTCCCCACGGACATTATTCTCAAAATTTATAAACTTGAAGAAAGTTCGATATTTTGATCGTTCGATGAAACGTATTCGATATTTTGATTTTCGATCATTTGTCATTCGATATGGCGTAGGTAACCCTATTATACCACCAGTTAAGTTTAGTGAAATGTTTACAGAAAACAATCAATTTTGTTAAAATCATAGTTTGTAAGAAGATTGTGTATCGTTTAATTATTGAATTCAACATGATTGGTATATCAGACTGACTAGATGTGTTATCAATTTACTTACTTTTAAAATAAGTCGTTAAATGATGATTTATGGATCAATAAAATACTGAGGTGTATTTTGAGGAGAATTGTTGTTTTTATTTATGATGGCGATGTCCATTTTCCCTCTTTTATAATAGATAGATTCTTCCAATATTTGCTTTTAATATGTTGTTTTGTTTCATGAAAGATAGCATTTTAACCATTTAATGTGTTACTAGATATCTGTACTATTAGATATCTACCACAAATATTACTTAAAAGGAAGTAAGTTCTATAAGTATAATCGCAGATATTATTTAATATAATCCATCTATACGAATCTAAGCGTCATCAATACGAGTAGTTAAATATTTTTCTTGCATCACTCCCCTTTTTTCCGCAATGATAAAGTAGATGCTTAACTACATAGGTACCTATCTAAAATACCTTGATAAAACGTAAGCGTGTTATTTTAGACTGTAGCTCCAACGTAATAGAGTTGCTGATTCCGTCGCCAAGTGGGGTTGAAATCGTCGACGCGGCGAATGCGTCGAGGGCTGCCGCGCCGCTCAATACGCGCGCGCCGCGCGTACCGCGCGGCTACGAGCCCCGAAGGGAATGTCATGGCCCAGTGTGCCGAAAACACTCACCGGCAACAGCCCTGTGCAATCCTGAATTAAAAAAATAATTATTTTAGAATCTAGCTATTCGGAATACAAATTAGATTAAGGATTTTTACTTATGTCGGATAATATAAACAACGAATGTTCTACCTCAATTAATGTTCAGTAGTTTTTAAACTATCGTAAGCGAAATTGATAAGCAGACGTGAATCGCATGTGACTAGGTTAGTAGACAAAAGAAAAGTGAAAATAAAAATAAGCTGTCAAATTTAGGCGCGAATTGTGTAAACTTTTTCTGAGGATCGCAGCTGTCAAGTTCTCCGGCCAGTTTGAGTTGTAGAGTTGCGATGAACGAACTCGACTTGATCAAGGAGGTGGAGAAACGACCGATCCTCTACGATAAGTCTGTGAGTGGCTTCAACAAAACCAAGCTCCGGGATGACGCGTGGAAAGAGGTGCAGGAAGCCCTGAATGTTACAGGTAAACAACAAGTAAACAATAACAACAATTACAAAGCCTCCAAAGTTATTCTTCTTCTTGAGCAAATGTTAAAGCAAGTTTATTTGCACCTTTCTATAGGCAGGGTAATTTTCTTAGACATTTTTTCCCTCACTAATAATAGGAGGTGTACTATAGAAGATAAGTACACCTTACATGTGGTTAGAAACGGACTATGCCGAGAAGTCGCGGGTTCGATTCCCGCTCAGTAGGTAGGTAGGCAAACATTTGTGTGCATCAGTGCATGAACGTATTTGTTTGTATTGAACTGGGTGTTTTCTATGTTATAATAGGGTATGTTTTCCAAAAAAAAGTAAGTACATACCTACATACATTATATCCGTTGTCTAAGTAGTAGGTACCTATCCCATAGTACGCTTTGCTTAGTTTGGGACTAGAGGCACAGTATAAAAAACGTCCAAGGATTATTTATTTACCACCCTATGGTAACAAATAACAGGAATTTTCTCTTAAAATTTAGGGATTGATGGTAAAAACGGGCATAACGTCCTAAACAAAGTGGACCGACGATCTGTTGAAGGTCGCGGGTGGCGCCTGGATGCGGGAGGTGCAGGACCGGTCGTTGTAGAAATCCATGGGAGAGGCCTTTGTCCAGCAGTGGACGTCATTCATCCATAACGAACGAACGAATGTGCTAAACAATGAATGATAAGATTGATAAAGGGTTAAAATTCGTTTGTTACACAGAAGCGGAGTGCAAGAAGCGCTGGCGTTCGCTTCGCGACTCGTTCATCAAACTGCAGCGCACGCACGGCGGCCGCACGCGCTGGCCCTACCACCACGCCATGCGCTTCCTGCTGCCGCACGTCGAGCCCAAGATGGAGAACAAGTAATAGTCTATTTCAGTGTTGCACAAGCGGATTGCAAGAAGCGCTGGCGTTCGCTTCGCGACTCGTTCATCAAGCTGCAGCGCACGCACGGCGGCCGCACGCGCTGGCCCTACCACCACGCCATGCGCTTCCTGCTGCCGCATGTCGAGCCCAAGATGGAGAACAAGTAATAGTCTATTTCAGTGTTACACAAAGGCAGAATGCAAGGAGCTCTGGCACTCGCTGCGTGACGCTTTCATTAAGCTGCAGCGCACGCACGGCGACCGCACGCGCTGGCCCTACCACCACGCCATGCGCTTCCTGCTGCCGCATGTCGAGCCCAAGATGGAGAACAAGTAATACTCTCTTTTATCCACATCATCATCATTTCAGCCATAGGACGTCCACTGCTGAACATAGGTCTTCCCCAATAATTTCCACAATGGTCGGTTGGTGGCGGCCTGCATCCAGCGCCTTCCCGCTACCTTTATGAGGTCGTCGGTCTACCTTGTGGGTGGATGTCCTACGATACGTTTTCCGGTACGTGGCCTCCACTCCAGAACCTTGCTACCCCATCGGCCGTCAGTTCTGGGTAATATTATTATGCCCTGCCCATTGCCACAGCAATTACAATGCCGGCCGGGCCGGACCGTGAGTTTAGGGTCCTGGGCTAGTACTTAGTACCTACTTAGGGGCTCATATACTCTTTCGCATTAGGTATCGTCTATTTTTTTTCACTTTGACTTCCGCTTGAATCCACGGGGCCCTGATTATTGGGATAGGTCCTTTCGAGATTAACGAAGTGCCTGGATGTGCACTAGCGTTTAGTTAGACGCTATACTGATACTGTACTTCTGATAACGCTGCTCAGTTAAGCGCTAGACTTAGATCTTGCTTGTCTAGTAGTCAGTAGCTGCCTGAGGTATGTTAAATCATGAGCTATGGTACTAGTGTGAAAGAACCCTAGATACGTCAACGTATATTATGTAATCTCTACGTGCGTCGACGCGCGACCATCTGAATTTAGCTTAAAGGTTAAAATATCATCGCTCTTTACAACTACTATATCCGCAACTGTCAACCTTTCCAGCGTTATCAAAAGAGAAGAGGAATCGGACACAGAAGACGACCCTCCGATGCGGTTCCGTTGCGTGCCCTCAATGCCGAGCCTCCCCGACCTGTCCTTCCCGAGCGAGTCCAACGAGGAGGACCAGGACTCGCAGCCGTCGCCCAAGAAGCCGCGCCTGAATTCTACGGACGAAGAAGGCTGCCACTGCAACAGGAATGACCCAGACGAACTGTTCTTGCTGAGCTGTGCGCCGATCCTGCAAAGGTTGAGCGCGAAGCAGAATGCTGGCGCGCGGCTTAAGATTCAGCAGGTTAGTTTTATCAGCAAGGAATACTGCTATCTGCCACTGTGATAGGAACGACCATTCAGCTGTTCCTGCTGAGCTGTGCATCCATCTTTCAGTGGCAGAGCGCAAAATAGTTTCAGCAGGTGAGTTTTACTAATGTGGCAAAATCCAATTCAGTTTCCTTCCCCGACCTGTCCTTACCAAGCGACTAGCCCAACGAGGAGGACCAGGACTCGCAGCCGTCGCCCAAGAAGCCGCGCCTGAATTCTACGGACGAGGAGGGCTGCCACTGCAACAGGAATGACCCAGACGAACTATTTTTGCTGAGCTGTGCGCCGATCCTGCAAAGGTTGAGCGCGAAGCAGAATGCTGGAGCGCGGCTAAAGATTCAGCAGGTCAGTTTTATCGGCGAGGAATACAGCTGTCTGCTACTGTAATTTAAAAGACCAATGAGGTGCTCCTGCTGAGCTGTGCGCCCATCTTGCAGCAGCTGAGCGTAAAGCAGTTTCGGCAGGTAAGTTTTACTGATGTGGAAGAATACAATGCGGTTCCACTGCGTCTCCTTAATGGCGAGCCTACCCGACCTGTCCTTCCCGAGCGAGTCCAACGAGGAGGACCAGGACTCGCAGCCGTCGCCCAAGAAGCCGCGCCTGAACTCTACGGACGAAGAAGGCTGCCACTGCAACAGGAATGACCCGGACGAACTGTTCTTGCTGAGCTGTGCGCCGATTTTACAGAGGTTGAGCGCGAAGCAGAATGCTGGCGCGCGGCTAAAGATTCAGCAGGTCAGTTTTACTTACTGACTAGAAATCTGCAACTTTACAGGAATGACCAGTAAACTGTGATTCAAGCTTGCAGCGGTTAAGCGCAAAGCCATTTCTGAAGGTGAGTTTAATTCCTGGTCATTGCTACGGGAACGAGTTGGAGGAGCTGTTCCTTCCTGCTAAGCTTTTAGCCAATCTTGAAGTGAAGAATGCTGGCGCTTGAGCTAAGATTCAGCAATTCACATAATCTACAGACATAACGCATAAGGGAGTGAGTAAAACGTGTGTTTTGCTACGTCAAACATCAGTGAGACTTCAGATGTGATTCAGATATTTACCTATATCTTCCTACTCTACCTACTGCAGAAACCTAGGTACTCAGTTATGTGCTATGCCTGCTATTTCAATCTACTTTCAGTTATCTTAACGCCACCATCCACATGTCATGTTTATAGTATCTTATTGCCTCTTTTTGACCAGCATGCTAACTTCTTTACAGGTGCTGTACGAAGCCGAATTCGGAATGCAGGCAGAGCTACCCTACCTCACACCGGCCGGCGAGGTCATAGGGGTCATACAGGACTTACACGAGCCGGTGGACTAAACAGTGCAGTACGGACCATAGATTTTAAGTGGACTGTTGGACTCAACAACAGGCAGGAGCCATAGAATTATACAGGGTGTAAAAATGCATCACGCACGAAGAAGCTTGAGTCACTCCGCACTAAGTGAGTTATGACGAAAATATTATTTTAGGATCTCTTGCATTATCCTTTCAAATCTTGCAAATCGAGACACTAATATATCCATTGTTAGGTACGCGGCCATAATATGCGACCGCTTGGGATTGATGGGTTAAAGATGCCCTAAAATTGTCTCCATCAGAGAAGTCGCCCGGCAAGCGAAAGATATTATGGGTTCATTTCTCACCTGAGACCATTCATTTTTTAAGCTTTAAAATTGGTTTGAAATATTATTCATGGGAACTTGGACTCTGACTTTTAATATCTCCATGCTCCAAGCCATGTTTGGTAATAGTCTTGAAGAAAAAAATATTTATCATTCAGATGTAGAGAACATTTTCTTCTTCAGCTTCGGATTCGTGATAAGTTTTTTTACACCCGCTATACGGACCGGTTTAAACATCACGGTGCAATTATTGACAGTGTGTAGTATGTACGATAAAACTTCGTAAGTAAGAAACACTGACGGTTTTATACATTTCATAGCTATTGCGGTAAAGTGGAGTAATAATAAAATATGACTTAAAAGTGCCCATATTCGAATTCATCCATTACTCATAAGCGAAATCAAAGCTCAAGTCGATTTTAAACTCGTTAATAATTCGGTAATTCGGTATACAAACAATTTACAGAAAACTAGAAACAATATGTCATAGTCATAAGCAAGTTTTACATAACAGGAGCACATTTTTTAAAGTGGGCTTTTTGCTTACTATAATTGCTTAATAAATAAGTTTAAATAATAAATTGACTAGCTGATAATAAACGGATTGTGAGGTTCATTTTACCTCGTACAGGTTGGAGATGACAAAAAAGTGTACATTTTGATAACACCAACCCTCGCATAGATTAGGATAAATAATTTTTCACAATTTGTACGTAATACATATTTGGCTCGAGCTCGATGTAACTATTTTATTGTTATTTTACATATTGTCGTTTCCACCCTGTATAAAGTCCTATAGCTTTGAATAAAAATGAAATTGCTACGTAACTAAGTATAAAATACAGTAAATTAGCTGCTAGGCTGAATGTGAATCCGGTACTCTTCCAATTTCTGTGCTGCCTCTAGTTAAGATGTCATTCGAGTCCACAGAACCAAATAATTTAAGATAACTTACAAATCTAGTCATTGATCTGTTGATATTTTCATTATTATATTAATTAAGATTTTAAAAATAAAAACATTTTCACTGCGTATTTTCTTTGTCTTTTTCTTTAAGTAAGTTTGAAACCAATAGCTATATTATGTCTACCGAAGAATCAGATAAAAGTAGTAAAAACTATACGTTTTACACTTAGATAGTTAATTAAATAAGTGCTTTTAGAAATTGCACCTACGGCGGTGAAAATTTGTCTCTACAAATTGAAAGCTCATTTTAATATTCATGAATGTATTATTAATTTGAATAAGATCACCTGCTTTTGAAAACCCTTGGCAGAGGATTTGTCCAGCAGAAAAAAATACGTAAAGGCTTACTTGCGAAATGTTGGAAAACAAAAAGGAAAGTTACCTTCTTAGAATGTTACGATCCTCGTAAAAGTAGGGAAACTCACAGTAGAGACGATCAAATGATTTAAACAACAATTTACGAGATAGTTGCTCAATCACATTACATCTTCAGCACGGCTATTTGCATTTCGTTACTACGAGAACTCGGTAAGTACCTATTGTATAACAGAAAATTACTGAAGCGTGAATAAATTTTCACCTTACGCTCTTATAGCTTACTAGCTTTCCGCCCGCGGCTTCGCCCGCGTGAATATTTTTTTTCACAACCGGGAAAACTATCCTATGTCCTTTCCCTGGACTCAAACTATCTCTATGCCAAATTTCATCAAAATCGGCTCAGTTGTTTAGGTAAGCGTTAAAGCGACAAAGACAGACAGAGTTACTTTCGCATTTACCTATAATATTAGTAGGGGGAAACGTTCATATCGTACTGTAACTCTCAAGCCACATATTTTGATTGAAAATGAGGTGTAGAGTTTGTAAAGTTTAGGGCTTATAGAGTTAGAGAGTTATTTGTTTTTTATTTTTATATATCTTTATTACATGAGAGTGTCTAGGAGTTAGAAGCTACATGAGGTCTGATCCTATAACTTTTTCATAATGCGAGTCATATTATGGTCTCATCTTGGGAACTCTACATGAAACTGAATAATTAAAAATCTTTATATCTGGCTTCGTCATAAATTGGTAAGATAAAACGTCATTTTCTACTGCTTACTTACTCATTTAATTTTATTTTTTAATGTCGCAGCAAAATGTACTTCCGTTGATTGTCACTTCCGTGGAATTTTTCGCGTCGTCCGCCTCGTGTTGTGTCGTGTATATCTCGCTCTACATTGCTCACTAATGAATCATGGTCTAAATTCGTTGGACAGACGATTAATTTTGCAAAATTAAATATAATCAATATCGTTGGAGATTTTACACTGCGCCTCTAGTCCCAAACTAAGTAAAGCTTGTACTAAGGGTACTAGACAACGGATATTTTTATACATACCTAAATACTTTTTTTTGCAAATACATAATTATAGATAGAAACCACCCAGATCAAACCAATATGTTCATCCACCCAAATGTTTGTACTGTGCGGGGAATCGAACCCGCTCTCGGCATAGTAGTGCGTTATAAACCACTACACCAAACGACCGACAAAATTAAGGAAACGAGACACGAATTAAATGCTTTTTGTAAAATAAATCATTCATCCAATAATAAAGACCTAAAACAAGCCATACCTTGCGCTAGGTATTCATTGAAGTCTTAACCATAGCGTCTAAGATTCTAAATCATTATACCTACTTAGTACTTACTTAGGTCGAGTTGCGTGCTACAGCAATACAATCCCCTTTATTTTATACTGGGTCTTACCCCCTTCACAATAAGAATATGTTTTGCATCCACAACTCGCATGTCAACGGCTGGGTCAATTACGGCTTCTAGTTTCAATTACCATTCGTAATCAACCGTCGACGCTACTTAATAATGTCACATGTTAGGTATCGTATTTTAAGTGAGTACTTATACCTATACTAGCGGCCGTACCGTTTTACCGCCGTACAGGTTGAATTTAGCAAAATCCCGTCTTAGTGAGCACCTACGTTCTAAAAGGAACCCCCAAAATTTGAGACTCCTAGCACTTGTAGTTTCTGAGATTTCGTGATTAATGACTGAGTCAGTGACCTTTCGTTTTTATACATATAGAAAGACTAACTACATGTTTGCATTAATTGCACGTGCAAGTTTTAAAACAATGAATTAGGACTCTACATCCTCTTAAAGATTTTATTTAGCTTTACTTGCAGGATTACTAGGTATGTTTGTATACTAAGTACTTGTTCGTATTTTCAGTTTCGGCTTTTTCATGCCTTTCACTAGATGTTGTAGCGACAACACTATTATATCATTAAAAACCTGTGCATAATTAATTATTTTGTCTATTTGTTACAATTATTAAAGTTTTATTGTAATAAATCTATACTTCTATACTAATTTATAAATGCGAAAGTAACTATGTCTGTCTTGCTTTCACACCTAAACCACTGAACCGATTTTCATGAAATTTGGCATAGAGATAGTTTGAGTCCCGAGAAAGGACATAGGATAGTTTTTATCCCGATTTTTGAAACAGGGACGCGCGCGATAAAGTTTTTCTGTGACAGACCAAATTCCAAGGCGGAAAGCTAGTTATAAATAGTAGGATATTTTTCTATTAAAAGGAAATTTCAAAACTGAAACTTATTATTAAAGAATACTTATTCCATGAGTTATTAGGAAACCATGTCAAAAATAATGCATTAATTGCTACTAAAAAGTAACAGCCGACTGTTTTTAAATTCAATGGACTGCGCTTGCACAATTATCTAATTGCAATTAAAAGAAAATATCGCAATGAAACCGGATAAGTGCATACGGTACGGAACTCGCAGTTTATGTGAGCATAGGCTTTCTTATAATTTATTTTGAACATTATTTTTTTAAATAAGTATTTACTCGTAAACTTTAGGGTACTGTAATAAGATCTCTGGTTCTTATAACGTTTCATTACATTTTTCATTTAACAGACAACAACTTTATTAAGAAATGCTCTCTAATGTAAAATGCGCTTTGTTTTAAGAGATACTTTATCTATAAATTGTAATTCATTTGTGCAGAGCACGTCTTTCGGTTGAAAGAAATAATTAAAGATACTCGTATTATGGAACGATCAACGATGAAAAAACCTTTCAAATAATTAAAGTATACTACCTATCTCTAAAAGGCGAAAATTCTGTGCGTAAGCGTAAAAACGACAACAATATTAAATGTCGTGTTGTGATTTAATTTTTACAAACGAATATCTAGGCCACACGTTTAACTAGTAGACAATTTAATTGATGGTGATTGTATTTCTTTCTACTACATTATTAGCTCTCGCCCATTACTTAGTCCGTGAGAATTTCAGCGGATTTTATTTACAATTTCATGGGAGGAATCTATTATGAAAAGCTCCCGGACTATTGTGGTCTCAGATCATAAGATCATAGAAGGGATTCTCTTCTATGATCTGAGATTGTGGTAAAATCACTCGTAATACAAGCATTATATTTGACTTCTTACCGCGAGGAGCTAACGGTGAATTGTTATTTTTTTGCTCCTTATTGTTTGTTATACAAAACTCAGATTGATTGATTTAAAACAAACTGGGACTCATGGCACAAAGTGAGGTTTCAATTTTTATCTGACCCGCCTGCGAATCGAACCTAGGACCTCTGGATCGAGACAGTCCAACTTTGTAAATAAATACTTAATAGCCAACAGAGTTCAATACTGTTGTTCTACTTACTTATAATATGATGTAGCAACAATAATATGAAACCGCAATGTTGGAATTGATTGTAATTTCCTGTAAATGTGCATTAAATTATGAACCTACATAATATTATATGTATTTATTATGATAATAGAAGGTCAATATTTAAAAGTGCGTGAATTTTACGTATTAAAGGATACTTAATTGAATAAATAAACAACACTCGTATAAAATGTAATATTTTTAAATCTTAAACTTAATTGAAATAAATAGTAATTAAAAACTCTCACACAAATAACACTAGTTAGTCCAATAAAAGTCTCTATCTAATATCACATCTTTGTACAAACAAAAACATTAAATTCTTTTACTTATTCTATCTCGGAACATTTTTCTTAAAAATACAATACAATCTTACTAATCAATAGTTAAATCCAGAGTTAAAACTTAACGAATTTGACTAACGTAGGGCTCAGTAGATTGCGCTTGTTCGTCCAAAACCAGATCTTTGCTATACCTCTGTAGAAGTTCCAGCGCCACCCCGTTGGTCCATCCAAAGCCATCCTGCACCACGTACTCCCCGCCACTACCTTCATGCCCAGGGTTTTCCGCGCTGTACTTCTCAAACATCTTCTGCCATGTAGAGTAACCAATATAATTGGCTCTTATCCACAACTTCGCCTGCTTTTTAGCCAGTTCCTCAGCCTCTAAATTTCCACTCGCATCCAAACCTCCTATCAAGATGCTCTGCAGCGGAGGCCATGCGTTAGGGTAGTCCCACTGCTCACCAGAGTATAATACTGATGCAGGTATGCCCCCCGGGAAGTTCATGCCACCAGATCCTAAAAGATATTTGACTAACTTCGCGCCGTAGAAGGCACCATCGGCTTTTTCAATTGTACCAGCCCAAAGAGGAGTTGCACAGCTCGGGTAGAAATGCTTTCTCGGCGCTCTTGCTTGGGCGTCATAGTCGTACCAGACGCCATCTACCGGGTCCCACATGACGTTCTCAATGGCACTTCGCCAGTACTTGGCAAGACTCCACCATTTCTGTGCTTCGCGTCTGTCCTTCAGTCGGTTTCGAAAGTCACCGGCAAGTTCAAGTGCGTTGGCGAAAATAGCGTTCAAATCGACTGGCAATATACGAGTGGCATGCACGTCTGTCAGGTTCCCGATTATGTCGCCGGCAGTCACGAACCATCGGGAGGAAAAGTCCCATCCACTTTCAGCAGCGCTTTTCATTTCGTTGTAAAAATCCTCGCGTTCATCTTTAGGCAATTCTAAACCACTTCTGTAATCTTCGTAATATGATTCAGGGCGAGGACCTGTACCCGTTGGATCCGCAAAATATCTAAGTAGTACGTACTTTTTACCGTTCACTTCAACTGTCACTTTCTTCTTGTCCAACCAGTACTGCAATTCTTTCTCCACAGTGGGCAAATGCTGCTCTAACCAAGCTAGATCTCCAGTTGCGGTAAAGTAGCTGGCCACCATTGCAGCGAGAAGCGGTGGCTGGCTCCTGCCCAGATAGTAGATCCGACTTCCGTTTGGAATGTATCCCAGTTTCTCCACCAGATACAAAAGATTTTCTATCATGCCTTTAGCGGTCTGCGTCATATTGCTGATGAGAAGTCCTCGCACCACCCAAAATGAATCCCAGTAGTAAAGTTCCTTGAATCTTCCACCAGGAACTATGAAACCATTGGGTACATATAAAAAGCTGTATTTGTCAGGACTTTTTGCAACTGCAGGGTCAACTTTACGACCCAATTTTGCCCATATACCGATGACACTTTTAGCGAATTGTTTCAGCTTCGGATCAATGATTTGCTTGAGGAAGGGGGGGTCGGGGTCGAAGTCAGGCGGCATCCAAGGCATGAGTTCATCTCCCTCCGAAAAATGATTGTTTACGAAGTCCGTAAGTTGCTCTCGTGTCGGGTTTCTTTGGGTCTCTTGCATCAATCTTGTAAAATCTGCCAACGTTACATTTTCGTCTTGAATAAGTTTTAAGTCAACGAAGGTTTTCGAGTCAGGAAATACACGCGCGAGCTGAACTGTGTGCAGAAGTTCACCGGTGCAGAATATCGAGGAGTTGCAGGCAGGTGCTGTCGAGAACGCATGAGCATAAGCGCCCAACAGTCCCAGCACTGGATATAGAGGCACGCTGCGGAGTCGCCTTAACTTCAGCATGTTTGTTTATCGAGATTTCCGACGCGTGGAGTAAACATAACATTCGCGCGCGAGCGGCGTGGCGCGGGCTCCGATGTCGCGGGACGAGTGGCCGCACACACAGCACACATTGTGCGCCCTCAGTGTGTCAGCGAGCTAGCTCCGTGCTCCGCCCTTTTCCCATCGCTGATGCAACGCGACTAGATGACGACGAGCCCCCGCTTTCACTCCCGGCTTGCAGTCATTAGGCGCGCGAGACTGCGGCGCGCGCTTACGGTACGAGACGCTCAAGGCCTTGGCCTACAACTCGCTAACTAGGTCGGTCTGAGACAAAACACGTGGCATTTCTTTGGCGACATGAGCTCTACTGACAATCTAATGTGAGGAATTCCGCTTCTCGGCAGCCAATAAATATTATTTCCTGGATACCCGCGACCAATCAGAGCAAATGTTATTCTAATATGCGCACGAGCTAGCTCGTAGCGTAACGTTATCACTGCGTCACGCACGCTAGGCATCAGCTGATAGAGTCCAATGCCATGATCATTGAATTAGATAACGCAATCCTATTCAATACTGCTAGAAAACTTACAAACCACGGAATGAGATTTTATTCCAGTGTTAACAAAATCCTTGATATATCAGACTGATTTTGAAAAGAGCTATTGGAACACTATTGCGTGCTATTGCTGCCTTTATGAAAAAATCTCTATCTTTCAACTTTTAAACTCCACACTACATTGTTGAGGAGAGTCCATAGTGCTCTAGGTTCACCTTTCAGCGTACTCGTATAAATATCCTTAGATATTTTACACCATCAGTCAATTACCTATCCACTTAAGTTTTCCTTTTAACGAAGTTGACCAGTTTTTCTTGATGGCTACCTTTTACAGGTGATTTATGAAAGTTATCAATGTGACACACTTTTACTAACTTTTCGCAATTTTCTTTGAGACCAAACTGGGCAAGAAATTAGATGCACCATACATTGTTGCAAGTGTAGACTGAGCTAGGAGGTATTAAACCGGTTTATGTAATTGACAGTGATTGTGACATTTTTGGTTTTATAGTTCCAAAATACTGGACTGTCCTGTCGATGACATTGACAGTGGGGCGCCACCGTCAATACCGGATCGCTTGTTCAGATTTTTGCCATGTCAGAAACCATATAGTTGAACGATGGTAGCGCCCCCCTGTCATTGAGTTTGGTGGGACAGTTCAGCGTGGGTCATCTATATGCTAGCTCAAAAAGACAAATATTGTACTATGACCACAGAATAATAATAAGTATGACACAAATAATATGCAGTAGATACGCATTGTTATTGCTACCAAAGACAATTTGCTATTTTACCACTCAAAAGTCCAAAAAAGTTTGTTCGTCATCTTTTCGCTTCCCGCGAAAAACTCTACCTATTCTACTAAACTAAATATTATAGCATTAACTCACCGAGTTAATATTGCAAACTGAATATTATCAGGAGTTTAATGATTTGCCATAGTAATTTAATAAACATCATGAATAAATATATCAATTCGTATAGTATTACTACTAAAAAATCTAATTTAAATAATCTAGACAACAAACCAAGATCAAGTTCTCTCAAACCAGTCCATTTCAAGTTTTTAATGGTCCGCCAATAAAACAACTTTTAGTTAGTTTTTTTGATGATCGTAAAAAGGTGTTATCGAATTCGCGTTTGCAATTTAATATTTTTTATTCAAATCGCTTGAGTGAATTATTAATTATTTTTATTTCATGTAGCATGTTGTGTCAATGACCTAATCATGTGCGCTATTCTGTAGTGATTCCCATGACATAGTAGGTAAGTATACGTTATTCGTTGAAAAATGGCTTTTTTCAGCACGTAGCAAGTACTTATTCCTTTTTCATGGAAAATCATATTAACCCTTAACCACTGACGTGTCATTTTGTTACACTAACACTGACGTACGTAACTTTGAAGACCTCCTGATGTATCAATAGAGTGTAACTTTGGTGATATTTAACGGCCATTCTCAGATGAGCTAGTTTTTGCGTGTCCGGGCTGTTAAATCGTTAAAAATGACAAATTAGAGACATGCAAGTATTTTTATATGTTACTTAACAACCCTATCCAGTTGTGCATTAAATCATAGGCCTCTATTTTAAGTATTTGTGTCTAAATTAATTTCATGAAACCCTGTTCTCTAATTACCGTTACGCGTCCGCACACCGACTTAATGTTAAAAGTTGGCTGTAATTTTTATGTCGTAAAGATTTGGTTTACTCCATTCAACATTTTAAAGAGTATAAAAGATTGTCTTATGCATGGCAAAATATCTATTCAATAGAACCATTCTGTAAATAATTAGAATTAAAAAACTGCTTGTCCGAGCGAAAATCCTAATTCCCGTGACGTTTTTTGTTTTTGGGCACACAAGCCTAAATAATAATATTTGACACATCATTTACGCGCGTGGCGCGAGCCCTTAGTTAGTTCTATGACCTGTAAGCAAGTAGACGTCTATTGCGTTGGCGTACCGTCGATGAATCGCGTAAGAGTATAATTACCATATCTTTGGTTTTCAATTTTTCTATTTACCATGTCCTTATTTTTAAACTAGATTTTTGAAGGTAGATCCACGTTGTTGATTTAAATAGAATCAGTATGTTGGCCTCCATACGTTATAGTAAGACAGTATTTGCATACTTCCTGATCCATTATCTGTATCCATCGTTTATACCACATTTAAAGCAAATTGCAAAATTCAGATTCTGATTCAGCTAAATGCTCTCATTTTAAATGTGACACATAGCCCCTTCTTGCTGAAACTAAGTGTTCCTGTTATAGCCTCGATTCTTGCAGTATACTGAAAATATAATGATACAATAAATAATAGAAATTAGTGTTCTTCTTTTTGCAAAGGGCTATTAAGAGTACCTACAGCTTTTTATATGACGCTATTATTTGTGTACAAATTTATCAATGCATGATGTTGTTTTTTTTGCTATTTTACATATATTTTCTAATTACCGTTAGATTAAGTATTAGCCTTATCTAATTACCATGACCATAAAATTTTTGGATCTCATTTACGCGAAAACCGCTTTGAATAATTTGACGCCTTTACGATTGTTAGATTCGTACTTTTCATGTGTTTTATATTTAAATGCATTTAAGTCAATTAAGCCAAATTTCAAAAATAATATGGTAATTAGGCTGAGAACGCCTAATCGTGAGAATGGCCGTTAAATTTAAAATATTTACACATGTTTATAGTAAAAAAACATAGTAACATTAATAGAATAGTATGATATTGGTGAAATCCTCCAGACGTAATAAAAGTTACACAGGCATTTTTTAAAAATCAACACAAAAATATTCGATAAAACTAGAAACGTCTATTTTGGCCATATTAAAGATCAATAACAGTTTTAATCAGGAAAAAATCGCAATAGCAATAATTCACAAATTATGTCACTTTTTAATACAGTTCATTTAGGAAGGATATTTTCTATAGTCTTTCTTTGTTTGATGACCTGGTCACCAATTTACCGTGCTTCAAACTAGCTAGGAAATATGAAAATATGGTATACAATCTCCAGAAGAAGTCAAATCCAAAGCCACGAACTAAAGCTCCTTCACCATCATGATGATTGTCCTCGAAAACCGCAAAGATATAAAAATTTTCATCTACTGGATTTTTTGCTAATTTCTTCATCATTTGTAATATTTTAGACTGCTAACGAATCATTTTATCTATGGACCAACATACAAAACCGATGTTGAAAAAGTTACACTAACACTGACGTTACGTACCACATACGTCGGGTGGTCTAGCTCTCATACTTAGGGACGCGCTACCCATCAATTTTCTCCCGTCGCACACGCGTCTCTGGCCACTAGGAATCTACCAAAAAGGACAGTCAAAAATTCCCGCACAAAATGAAGTTTTGAACGAAAAACCGTTTGACCGACGTACCACGTACGTACGTTAGTGGTTAAGGGTTAATGCAAGCCTGCAATGTGCTAACCATATGTAGTAAAATTCATTGGTTACTCATCACTATTAGGTAATCTGTCTCATTTTCTTAGCACTGGACCATAGTCGTCCGTACTCCACTAGGATAATCATCATCATCATCATCATTTCAGCCATAGGTCGTTCACTGCTAACAATGATTTCCACAATGGCCGGTTGGTGGGGCGGCCTGCATAATGTACAGCTATTAGGTGTCATGAAACTGTACGTTAATAGAAACAATACTGTTTTACGCGAATAAACTTTACATTACCTGAGTTCATCATTTAGTAGAAGATAACTGAATGATGTTAATAGTGCCTGAGTAGGTAAGTAATTAAAGTTATTCAGATAGGTATTAACTATTACGAGTTCATTTTGGGAAAATAAAACCGCTTGAAATTAACACACAGCCTTTTATTTACATCTAATAAGTACGTAAACTTTTATTATGTATAGCTGTCTATCTATCTATATAATACATAAAAATAATACTATGTATTTATATTATAATTAAAATACATTAAAAATCACACTTAGGAGGGATGTGGTAACATTTGTTTATATTCTAAACGTGGTGCTTAGTATTCTAATACCATATTTGTCTATAATTGATAATTGTAATTAAGTACACTTAAATAATTATGATGTCTAGGGTCCAACAATGTGTTAATTACAGCAAAAGCTATTTAATATAATAGTCCTTGTTATCTAGTATAACAAATTCTTTGTAGCTGGCACAGATGGTAATACAACATTATTTGTCTTCACTTTAAATATACCTATTGTAGAATTCATAAATATAAATCAAATAAATATCAAGTATCATAAAATCGTTATGCATTATCTTATATCATGATTAAATTTAAAAATCACATTAGAAGATGTGCCATAGGAACGATAATCCTTATTTATAAAAATGCATGGTAATTTCTGCTATCAACCTAACCACAAAAGTACTGATTTCCATAATCACATTTTGATCCTATGTTACAATAATAAAGTGCGAAATCCATTGGAGATTAATGTGCAATTTTGTGGTAGCTTGACGTGATTTACTTTAATTCTACAATTAAAATAGAGAAAATCGTAAAATTGTGAAATTATTTGTACTTATAAAACTATTTAATAATGAAATTCCATTTCGTATAGAGTGTCTGGAAGTTGAATTTTCAGAAAAAAACATTTCTGTTCTTTTAGTAACTTCTTTAGTACCTACTCTTACTCGTAGTTACTTACGTACCAACACGGTTATTACATAAAATAAAACGTAATACTTAGCTTGCCATTAAAGAAAAAAATAAACTTGTGAATATTAAAAGTAAATAAAATAATACCCTATTGTTTTCCTGCATTTTAAATTACAAAAGTAGTAACTTTAACTCTACTTATTTCATAAAAATAAATATTGAAGTAGTAGGTATCATTGCCAATGATTCATTGGTTATCAAACCAATTTTATAAGTTAATGTTATTTTATGCCAAGCTCTCGTTTACTATGTTCTAGATGACTTGTTTGTAAAACATAATGAGTTGTGATCTAATCTTGCCATGAGCATTTATTGCTGGATAAATAAGTTTGTATTACATGTAAAAACACGACTTTCAACCTTCATGAAAAGCACTCCAAATCGGGAGTAACATTATTTGTTATTTAAGTTTCTTCTAAGTTTGTTCATTATGTACTTCAAAGGTTTCTTGTTATGGCACTTCTTAACCTATTATTCGTGATTCACAACCAACTGAGAGGTAAAGTAAATAGCTATATCTAAACGTTTTATCGATTGCTTATTATATTCATCTGACGACTCTACATTTCCGTGAATTACCTATCTCCTACTTTCTTTTGTGTCTATTGTGTACACGTTTTCCTTGGATTCGATTTCATGAGGTGTGGAGTAAGAGGTTGCATCAGTAGCAGTCATTTGTCTGCCATATTTGGTGAGGAACTCTAGGACAACTCCGTTCGACCAGCCGAAACCAAACTGCACGACGTACTCACCACCACCGCCAACTTTGCCAGGCTGTTCAGCATCATACTTCTCAAACATTTGCTTGTTTTCAACGAAACCTTTACGGCACGCCCTCACCCACGTTTGAGCGACATCAAAAGCCACCTTCTTCCCTTCTTCTGACCCCAAAGCCTCCAACGCATTCACAACAATGCTCACTAGAGGCGGCCAGGCGTTAGGGAAGTCCCACTGCTCCCCGCTCCTAATCAGCGACGATGGAACTCCTCCCGGGAAATCCAGACCGTGAGATTTTTCCAGATATTCAAGCACTCGAGCAGAATGCTTCACAACCAGTTTTTTATCGACTGCCCCCATCCACAGAGGCGCTACGTTGCTTGGATAAAAGTATTTTCGGTGCGTGCCGTGTACCATGTCGTAGTCGTACCATACTCCATCCTGTTCATTCCAAAACACAGCTTCAATGTTACTGCGCCACTGCTGCGCAAGGTAAGCCCAGTGCGAGCCTCTTCGCGGCCTCTTCAGGATACCTTCGAAGTAAGCCATATTTTGTAGAGCATTAGCGAATATGGCATTCAAATCAACCGGAATTATATCTTGTGTGTGAATATTAGTAAGGTTGCCACCATTTTTCCCATCGTCTCCGATGAACCACCGTGACGAGAAATCCCATCCACTTTCCGCAGCACTCTTTAGATCAATATAGAACTCTTGTTTGCGTTCATCTGCAGTGTACCTGAGAGCTCCGTTGTAATCCTCACGGTACGACTCCGGGCGAGGCCCTTTGCTTGGGGCGTAGTACCTGAGCAGAGTGTGCGTTGAGTTTCCTTTGTCAAATGTAATAATCTGACTGTCAAGCCAATAGTTAAGCTCTTCTTGTAAGGCGTCGATGTTATCCTTCAAAAATTTGATATCCTTGGTTTCGCGGATGTATAGCGACATCATAGCCGACAACAGTGGAGGTTGACTCCTCTCCTGGTAATACCATCTACTGCCATTAGGTATGTGACCTACTTTCCTCAACAATTCAATTAGATTTTCGATCATTCCCCTTGCTGTCTCATTCATTCCACCGATAAGTAGACCCTCGATAATCCAGTACGTGTCCCAGTAGTAAATTTCCTTGAATCTACCTCCTGGTATGATGAAGCCGTTTGGCACTGGTATAAGACTGAACCTCTCGGGCTTTTCAAACACTGCTGACTTGATTCTCCGACCGAGAGTGGGCCATATATTGTGAATATCCTTTGCATATTGTCTTAGTTCTTCATCTCGAATGCCCAGAAGGAATTTGGGATTATCTGAGAAGTCATGAGGAGTCCAGTCTTCGAGTTCTCCCTCGGAATCGAAGTTTGATTCGACGAATCTTTGGAGCTGTTCTTTAGTAGGATTATTGTTGGTTTCGTTTAGGAGTTGGTCGAATTCTTCTAATATTGTTTCAGGGTCTGCAAGCATGTGGAGGTCGACGAAGGTCTTGGAGTCCGGGAAGACGCTGGAGGTCTGGACATGATGGAGAAGTTCGCTGTCGCAGTAGACCGGCTTCTCGCATGATGGGGGGAGGTCTTCAGCGAGGCAGCTCGCGGCGACTGCCGCTAGCAGCAGCAGTTGTATCATCTGGAAATGTAAAAGTACCTTTCTTAATTCCTTATCTCCAGTTCAGAGTTTTTCAGACCAATATGGGTGGTGTTTCGATTCGCAAAGGATCAAAATTCCATGGGCACGTATAAATATTATGCACACTTTTCATCAGAAATCTAGACGATATTCATTCAGCCTTAGTTGGTAAAAGAGCTAACAATATAATGTAATTACTATGTATAAATAAAGTCTCCAAATCTCGTTTCCCAATAAAGGCCACCTGGTATTACTGTTCAAGCAGCTAGATGTAGGCATATTTTTTTAACTGACAAGGCAAATAAATTGGCTGTATTCATATCATTCTGATATGGCGAACTATTGTAAAAAAGGAAGGCTTTTAAAATTTTCAAAAATCGTTATTCAATGTCACGAAATCAATATAAAATTAATTGACCCTGGCATGTCGCTAGAGATGGCATTTTAATAGTACAATCATTAGCGCTGCTCGAATAGCCAATTTTATTTGCTTTTCGGCGCCTTGACCTATTGTCCAGTATTTTTGCAAACTAGTCAGTTTGGCCAGTTTGGCTGTGTTGTGCAAATACATACTAATGCTAATACATAAATTATTTTTTGTTGTTTACTTCTTTTTACACGTATGATATATTGAAACAACTTCCAGTATTAATAGAATTTAAGGAACGAACTTGTTGGTAAACTTATTTATTTATTTATTAGATCCTTAAATAATTTAGTTTTTGCACATTTATACCATTTCTCAAACTTGTACCGTGGTCTAGTCACTCGGTTGACCTCGGTACGTTTTTACGTCCAAATGTTACAATGATAGAGCGTTTAATTTTTTATCGCCAACGGTCGATTCGCACAAAAAGTGATAGATGTTTCTTTAGCTTAATCAATTACCAGGATTTTAAATTGTAATTTTCGTTATTGCCTTAATAAATTGCTGGATTTTCAAACTTTTTGCACCATAAGTCATAGAGTACCTACCTACCTACTCTATAATGTGCAAAAATATTGGCAATAGAGTAAGTTTTTCTTGATCTTCCCCAAAACCCAAGTAAGTTAGATGTGGATTACAAGCGAAGCCTACTTTTCGAAATCCTAAGTACTTAGGTAGTTTCAAAATCCTAAATCCTTACATATAAAATGTAGAGCATTACGCATATAAAACTCTTTTTCCGCATGTGGCGGTCTTTGTGGGTTTTAGTGACAGTGATCAGTTGCGGTTGCGGGTTTGAATCTGGGGGCACGGCAGTGCCCCCACCAAGTCGAGCAAAAAAGCGGCACGACCGTACCATCCTTTTCTCGAAGCAATTCAGGCCATTTTCGACCGCCTGTAACTTCGTTGTGGATAAAACTAGCAGGCTGAATTTTCATTAGCTATGCAGGCATTGTAAAGACACGGTATATTTAAAATTTCATTCAATTTGAACCAGTAGTTTAAGAATTATAACGGGTCAAATTTACTTAATTTTGTCACTCACTGACTCACTGACTCACCGATCATCAAAACTCTAAGGCACTTCTAGCAGACCTAGAAGCTTCAAATTTGGAATATAAGTAGTGTTTGGTGTATGAATCAAGGAAAAACTAAAATATTTGGGGGCACGGTAGTGCAACCGCCAAGTCGAATATTTTTTTTCAATTTCGGTCCAGTTTTCTAAATACATAACTGCTGTCTACAAAATACAAAAAGAAATGAGATCCCATCAAAAACAATACTTGTCAAAAAAACCAAGTCTCGCAACTCAGTTGTTCTACGGTAAAAAGTTGTGAGATCCATGTAATACCAAGTCCAGGCCAGGAAATCTTTAACGTTTTACATAAATATATTGACTTGGCCATCGCATGAAAACACGTGTAAATTAAATTATTTAGTGCGATGGCCAAGTCAATAATTTATGTAAAACGTTAAAGATTTCCTGGCCTGGACTTGGTATTACATGGATCTCACAACTTTTTACCGTAGAACAACTGAGTTGCGAGACTTGGTTTTTTTGACAAGTATTGTTTTTGATGGGATCCAACTTTAGGCAAAACTTTGTGAGTTTTTCATAAGCATTAAAGCCTTGGGCCAGACATTGTTGTACCTTTTATATTTAAGTTTTCCTTTAAAAACGTAGAGTTTGAGGCTGGGCAATTTACAATTTACATTAATGTGATTGCTGGAACAGTTTTTAATCAGTGAACAAGTTGTCAATATTGAAGAAGCTTGTAAGGAAAAAGTACCTAACAAATAGGTAGGTATTGTATCTGATTCGGCCTTTAGATTAAATTTAATATCATGTTTGATCAATAAAACAGAGAAAAAGAAAATAATAATTATTTTACAAGTACAGTTAAATTGAAGAACCAATAACATTCTGAAACAGTGATATTCGTGGCTCATTTTTCTTTTTACAGTATGGCGTGTACCTACCTATGTATGCTTGAAAATAGATAAAATTAATGTGCAATTAAAAGGCAATAAAATGTCTAATATTTAGGCATTTACATGTGTTTGAAACCTGGTACTTGTCTTCAATCAAACATACCTACTAATTTATGCGGAGGAAATGCTTCAAATGTTACATAACGATCTAATCATAGACTACGAAACAGGTAAAACAGGGCCCGTTGGTGTCAAACATCGCCCTGGTTTACTATTAAATTAATAAGAACGAAAGCGTTAATCTTTAGTCAAAGCTGATTAAGTACGTAACATGTGACATAATTGAAAGAATTGCTAAGCGCCGGCGCCGTCTCGCCGGATTAATAAAATTGCCATTCCTACTCTTATACTCGGAAATGATTGGTGTTCGACATTAACATTATTTTAACTGTACGTAGGTAGGCTTTGAATTATGAACACTGTGCCTGTAAAAACATTAGTTAAGATGTGGTTAAACCTATCAATTTGTTTTATACTTAAAGCTGCACAGCTTTGAGCTTAGCGTCACTTTGTGCTCGTGAAAATAGTGCGATAATTTTTCCCGTTTTTCCAACATTATTCATTGACGTTATACCTAGGGCTTTCTCGATAAATGGACTCTCCAATAAAAATATTTTTGCGATTCGAAACAGCAGTTCCTGAGAGCTCGTTTAACAAACAAACTTCAGCTTTGATTATTAATAATAGATGTTACTGAAGCGATTGTAAAAAGGGCAAAAGTCGGGCATGTAAGAGCTAGAATCACCAATTTTGTTATAGGTTCATAAACGAGGATATAAACGTTTACCTAACGAAATAAATTACTATAATAACGAATTTTAATTTATTATTACAGGCTCAGGAAATAGGCAAAAAGAGTACCTAGCTGACAATTCAGCAAATTGGTATTAAATTGGTCGTGAAAAATTGATAATTTCCATAATAATAGTACCTACAAACCCATTGTGTTATCTCGCTGAAAAGCATTTAAGCGGTAATAATGAGAGCTTGCCTTATTTTAAATGAAATAGTATGTAAAATACAGTCCTTTTGCTAATCCTACCGTAACAAAACGTGACTTATTATTATACGTCAGAAGGAAAATTGGTAGGTACCTATTATATTTATATTAATTTCATAAAGTAATTTGTTGTGGAAACGAACGTCACTGATGACTTATAAGCAACACAATGATCATAAGTATCCATTGTTTCACCGATTGATGATTTTATTGCTTTCATAACGATCTATGAATGAAACCTTACTGGTTTCTTACACTTAGGCCCAGAACACACGGTGTTGCGTTTCACCTGCAACGAAACTGCAACTTCTAGTTACTTTTGAGTTGCATCTAAGTTTCTGCCATAGCATGTTCATTTGTGGTCTCTCAACGGAATCTATGGCAGAAACTTAGATGCAACTCAAAAGTAACTAGAAGTTGCAGTTTCATTGCAGTTACGTTTCACCGTGTGGTCTGGGCCTTACTCATTTGAGATACGATTACTCATTTCACATAGATAACAAAGTTAACTTTTAAAACGACATAGTTCTTGCAACTCACGAAGGCGAGTGAGCTTTACTTGTGTGTGTACGTGTACATGCACATAACGATAGTGCAATGTCTACCAAAACTTTTAAAAACGAACAGTAGCGAGCCACCACACAAAGCTCACTCGCCTTCGTGAATTGCAACAACTATAACTTTTTATGAATACTGTTAACAACAAAACAATCAGGCAAATCTGACCTCTGGAAGTCCACTTGCATGTCATGCTTCTCAATTAATGCCAACGTCTTAAAAGAACTAATCAAAATAATTAAAATAGCGTACCTAACATTCATTGTAATTATACCTACGTATGGTATTTAATTTCAAAAGCAATCGTGACTGAAATACGTAGCAAAACATTTGCGAACATTTCTGAACACACACACCAATCTCTACATTTTTTTTGCATAATCACTCATATTACAACTGCATTAAAGCTTATAATAGTGTAAGCTTGACATGCCATCGTTTGTACATAACGCCCGTATTCACAAACATTACTATGAGGTCTCACAGTGCGCGTGAACGCACTGGGCGACACACGAACCAATCACAGAGCTGTACCTCTAGTACGAAAAACTTTCGAGTTCGACCTCTAGTACGAAAAACTTTCGAGTTCGTTTCGTTTGCGTATTCAAAGTGTCATCGAAAAATTTTGTATGAAAAATTAAACAGCGCCCCCTAGGGCGGCTATAATATAGGGGGCGCTGTTTAATTTTTCATACAAAATTTTTCGATGACACTTTGAATACGCAACGAAACGAACTCGAAAGTTTTTCCTACTAGAGGTACTGTATTCAACGCTGTGAGTTCGATTTGCTGTTTCATTTAAGCAAGCATCGTTTGTGAATACTGGCATAAGTGTCACAGTAAGTGTTTCAAAAGAATTTCGAGTAGACAGGTGTCCTTCAGTGGCTGATACCATATCTTATCAGAGGCTGTTCACATTGCCTTACACATTGGTTTTCCAAGAAATAAAATAGATAAACCATATTACCGTAGAATACTTGTTTTTCCAAATAGAGTAAGTACCTAGTAGAGTCATAATTCGAAACATTATACCTATTTGGTAATATGTTTTTCCTTACTTTTATAATCTTTATTTGCGATGGAAGAGGATTGAAGTAATAAATTAAAATAAGTTGTTGAACGAACATCAATCAATCAATAACTAAAATATAAATCGATCTATACAGGAAATTAAGATTTAATTTTTTTTAGAGGTTTAAGGAAAAGTCATGACTTAATTAACTAGATTAAAAATATATTATATGCATTAGTGAGCTAAGTATGCGTCAACGTTATCGAGTAAGTATTTAATTAAAACGACATTATTAATCTGTTAATTAAAATGCAAAAGCGTTCATTTTTCTAATCAACACGTGAGTGTGTGTATAATACCTACTTTTTTCATTTTAACTTCTACTTAAACAGGACGGATATATTATTGGGCTATTAACATGAGATACGGTATTAAACACAATAATAAAAATTAAACCAATGGTCTCTAGCTAACTGCAAAGGTCTCTAGATATTCACTAATTAATTATAATTAATTAATATGTTAAAAAGACACAGATGATAAAATTGGATGTATGTATGTATGTTACGAGCTGAATTGACCCCGCCTGGAATCGAACTGGGACATTCTTTCAATATGCTCCTAGCATTATGCAATGTGCACCTAGTCATCAAAGGCCGTTTGCTGGCACATATTGTCTTCTAACAAGGACAGTGAGGCAAATCTTCAAGGCGATTACTCGAATAGAAGCCCAGTGAGTCAAATAGGAAATAGGGCCATTTTCCGCGCGCGCGCACGTGACGTCACGTACGGCTCGCGACGTTTTAGGGTTGGGTAGGGCAGTTCTTATTTTGCTCACACAATGCAAAAGGGTCAAATGAAGAAACGTTTGCGCAATCATGTTAGTAATTCAGATTTAACCTATGTACACACGGCCACAGTGTTAAAAAACTATCCATTTATGTTTTTGCTCTCGTTGTCATCAAATGGTGATTCTTTGCGGTAGAACGAGACGACATGACCGACAATGGGTAGTTAACACTGTTGCCGATAGTACTTACTGATGTTGATAGATTAAAATTGGAAAATGAAGAATCCACACAAGCGCTAAGATTAGTAGATTTTCAATTTGGGACCAAAAGACTTACGAGTATACTATATATTTATTATTACTTTAGTGTCTTTTCATGATACGGTTCAACAATGTAGACTCTACATCTAACATCGCCGCTTGCCGCTCTAACCGACGTATCTGACATTTTTTTCGAAACTGAGTTTCTACACCATCTTAATCAATTTTGCAAGACAAATCGATTTGTCTAATTGCCTGAAAATTTTGCTAAATGTCAGTTACGGCAGTTAGAGAGGCAAGCGACGACATTTTTAAATTGTCATCTAAAAAAATAGAAACATACGGAACTGTTCTACATTGTCCGCACTGTGTGGCCTCAACACGGATGGCAGGCTTCGATGAGTTCGAGTTCGAGTTCGAGTCGACAAGGAAAACTCGAATCGCTTTTTCTACAAGATTTGCGTGTCGAGATTTACCGACGATGAATGGGACAAATCCAAATAATGTTTGTTGTTTTTTGTAAACTTGTTGAAACAGTTTCAGCACGTGATTAAACTCAGGGATACTCTTGTTAATTAGTTAGTTTCATGTTATATAGTTTACATTTAAAATAGTCATCTAACCTACTTGTTTTGTGTATGTAAAAGATTTTTTAAACGACGGTTAACTTTACATTTATTTTGATTCAGGAAAGTGTGAGTATTCCCAAGAATAATTAACTTTTAAAAAAAATAAAACCGACTTCAAATGCGTGAACACAAAATCAAAACCCTCTGTCCCTCGGGTAATATAATCCTGAATACTACTTATCCTTACTTAATCCTATTTATTAATTTCAATTCGGCTGACTATTAGTTCGATTCTTGTCACAAGCAGATTATTTTATTTTATTTATTAGGACAACCAACAAGACAATCACGCACACACACAGATTAATTTAGCTCACCGGTAATTTTAATATAAAATAATGTGAAAAACAAAACTAAATAAGATGTTAAAATTTATCAAAATCAGATCACAAATATTAATGTTTGATTTGAGTAGCTCCTAAAAATGTTTTCCCAAACTGAAAAAAAAGAATTAAAAAAGCTACTAACCTTAACAACTGCCGATGAATTTCAAATAAATTATTTCACAAAAACTTTCAGTTGATTTCAGTAATTATTTATTGTACACCGTAGGAAGACTGTCCAACTTTACCACACAAGTTCATATTTATACTAACCACTAGTGCGAAAGCGTCAACACCACGTAACGTAGTTAGTCCACTCAACAGGGAAAATCTTTGGCTACGTATATACAATACATAGGTACTTAATTTACCTACATTGTTTACTAAGTTACCTACTTGTGACAATAATAAGGCTACGTGAAAATGCACTCGCATACACTTATTGACGAAATCAACGAAGAATAAACCCTTAGAAGTTTATTACCTAATTGCAAAATCCGCATTGAATATAAAGTGGCTATCACGTAAATTATAGGGCTGACTAACATTACATTATTACAATTGTTGGCAATAAATCTATTTTTGAAAGCGACGTGAACTAGCGAAGATTACATCTTTTCAGGTTCGAGGCTCTCTTACTTCAACTGGGTAGAGTGATAAGTTACAGAATATTTCGGCAAAATTTCAGTTACTATAGCTTGTGATAAAATTTAGTATTTTATGTTTTTTTTGGAAATTTAATTATCAAATGATACTATTATTGCACATCCTTCTTCATTATCATCATAATTTTATTTTATTTCAGTGTTGGATGCTTCTCGAAATACAGTAGTCAAAGAGCTTCTTATTTGTAAAATGATGAATTTCTCATACTAACAGTTAAGATGGAAATTATTAAATTCTTAGGCTGAGTTGCACCATCTTATTTTAACCGTGACTACAAAGCTAACCGGTGTTTTTGTATGGAGTTTGGCAGACTTTTGACGATTGTTAAAGTTAAAGTAAGATGGTGCAATCCAGCCTTACCTTGTACACGTAAGCACTTCTACCACCGCTGTACACTTCACCCCTGAAACGTTTTCTTTCACGTGGTGTTAGTGTTTATTACTAGGGTAATCAATATCCCATTAATTTGCGATGAGCATAAAAGGTAATTTATAGTTGCCTATAAAACTGTAAAACAAAAGACTTTAAACAAATATAACGACCCGATAGAAATTGGAAAACAATAGAGTTTTATCGTCGTAATTTTCGTAGCGTCAATTCAGCACAATGAATTGATTCCCTGATGCGTGCGTAATTGTTTGAAGTCAGGTGACTTCCATATACTTCATTTACCTAAATACACAGGAAGTTTATAAATAAAGATGGAATCTTCGTAGCTTAGCTAGGTAGGATTTGAAAGAATTTCCCAAATCTCGATGGAAAATTACACAGATGGAAAGTTTTTCAGTGGAAAATAGCCTAGCTATGAATGATGGGGGGCCATATAACAATATCAAAAATAATCTCTATCAAGTGGTAGCGATCACGTTTCGAATGTTGTCATACACATCAATAGTTGTTTGTGTGTCAAGAGAACATTATCAGGAGTGCCTGATTGTGCCCGAAGTGTCCGGAAAGTACCGCCATTATGATGATAGATAAATGTTATTGTTATCCTGCTTTTATCACATCTTGAACTGATAACGTTTCAATACTTTAAAAAAATGCGAAATGTTAAATACTCGTCAGATTATAAAGCTACGGCTACAATATGCGCAATTTCTTTTAATGAAGCGTAACAGGTTGATTTGCCGTCCTATAACATGGCGTAAAGGACAGGTGACCAAATGCCTAATTAGTGCCAGTAAATGTATAATTTATGTATAGCATTTGATATCGATTCGTAATTATTTCGCTAACACATGTCGTTTCCGAGTAGCAGATAAATATCGCAATTTTATCGAATGTTTATTAGAAGAATTTTCTTCAGGTAAATGTTGAATGTTCTCATTTATTTAGTTTCCTTTGATTTATGACTTTAGATCAATTTTATCAATATTTCTGTACGTATGACTGCAGCCTAATGTTCAATCAACCATTAAAATATTACAAATCGACAGGAAATAGGACAATTGCCCAACGTTTATACTCATTCACGGACAGATTTGGATGAAACCCAGTAAGTAAAGACTATGGCGTGAGAAGTGAGCTTTCGATGTCTGTGATCGGCTGGTATGCGTAAAAAATATTTCCTTAAAGGGAAATATTTAATTTTCCATATTGGGGAAATATGTTTTCCCTGATAGGTCCTCGGAATTGAATTTCACTTAGTTGCCCATTAAAATAAACACTAGATCAATAATTGTTATTCTATAAATAAATTATTGTTCTGCGGTAATAACAATAATGAAAAGAAATTATTTTACCAGCTGTTCTAGAATTAACAGCCATGTAGCCAAGGTTTGAACTTGGATAATAGGTATTACTTAGGTGTATTATAATAATGTTCGTTCGTTTCAGCCAAATGACGTCCACTGCTGGACAAAGGCCTCCACCAAGGTTTTCCATAATGAGCGGTCCTGCGCTGCCCGCATCCAGGCTCTTCCCGCGACCTTTACCAGATCGTCGGTTCACCTAGTAGGAGGCCTGCCCACGCTACGTCTTACAGTCCGTGGTCACCACTTGAGAACTTTCCTGCCCCAACGGCCATCGTCTCTACGAGCTATGTGCCCCGCCCACTGCCACTTGATTTTAGCAATTCTGCGAGCTATGTCGGTTACTTTGGTTCTCCTGCGGATTTCCTCCTTTCTGATTCGATCAGGCAGGGAAACTCCGAGCATAGCCCGCTCTATCGCCCTTTGGGTGACCTTGAGCCTTCTTATGAGGCCTATAGTAAGCGACCACGTCTCTATAATAATGTAAAACTAGCTACTTATTATGCGTGGCTTTTGTGTGATATTAATAAAATCTTTCCAAGTATATGTTAACATTATACTCGTACAACGAACCTATATAAGCTTAGTTCAGGGTAACTACTTATTCCTGTTAAGCAGTTTTTGCTTTATGTAGGTACTCGTAGAATACGCTACGAGGGCTGCACTAAAAGTATCGGGAATGGAATATTTCCACTGTTCCAGTCATATTAAAATCTATTTAATTGCAAACTCCAGGGTTTTAAAAATCGTATACCATTTATTTATTTAAAAAAAGATTCTCGGTCGTATCACAAGGTCTTGTCAAACTTGTTTAGTCGTTGAGAAAATGGAATTGACTCGAGAAAATTCACGAGCGATGATTTATTATGACTTTTGAAGTGGTTTAACACAAAAACAGTGTGTTGACCGGATGATTTCTGCATTTGGTAATGAAGCCCCATCCAAAACCACAATTTATCGCTGGTTTCCTGAATTTCAACGTGGACGTGTCAAGCTCAGTGATGATCCCCGTCAAGGTCGTCCAAAAACTGCAGTCACCTAAGAAAACGTTGATGCTGTGCGTAAGCTGATTGAAGAAGATCGACATGTGATATACCGCGAAATTCAGGCAACTTTAGACATTGGCATGAGTCAAATACAAATAATCTTGCATGAACAATTAGGTGTAAAAAAGTTGTTTTCCCGATGGATACCGCATTCGCTCTGTGAAGAGCAAAAAGCGGCTCGCGTTACTTGGTGCGTCAGAACTCTCGGGAGATTACATGCAGGATCCTCAAATGCTGTATACAACATCGTATCAGGTGACGAATCATGGATATACGCGTACGAACCCGAAACAAAAAACCAGTCACGAGTTTGGGTGTTCGAAAATGAATTAAAGCCAACAAAAATTGTTCGTTCACGGAGTGTTGCAAAAAAAATGGTGGCCACGTTTGTCTCCAAAACCGGCCATGTTGCGACTATTCCTCTTGGGGGACAAAGAACGGTTAATGCAGATTAGTATGCTAGCATTTGTTTGCCACAGGTCGTTTCTGAACTCCGTAAAGAGAACTGCAACCGCCGCATCATCCTCCATCACGACAATGCGAGTTCTCACACCGCGCACTGAACAAAAGAGTTTTTAGAGCAAGAAAACATAGAATTATTAGTCCATCCGCCGTACAGCCCCGACCTAAGCCCTAATGATTTCTATACTTTCCCTAAAATTAAGAATAAATTGCGTGGTCAGAGATTTTCATCACCTGAAGAAGCTGTGGAAGCCTACAAAACGGCCATTTTGGAGACCCAAACTTCCGAATGCAATGGTTGCTTCAATGATTGGTTTCGTGTATGGAAAAATGTGTCAAAGTTCGCGGAGAATACTTTAAAAAGCAATAAATACATTTTTAAATAGTAATGTTGTTTCACTTCCTTGATTCCCGAAATTTTCAGTGCCGCCCTCGTACTACCCGTTCGCGCTAAGTTTGCCGGTCCGTGGAATGCGCGTCCCCTCTCCCAACCGCGATTAAACGCAATTAGTTAGTGATATCAATAATGATAAATACAAAATATTTTAAATATAGTTTGTTATTTATTTGTTTAGACTAATAAATAGTTCTTACAAATCGTCATTTTGCTCTTAAGGAGCCTCTACATGTCTCATAATCTTTTTACCCTACCAGCGCTTCGAGACCAACATTTGGCAAGTGCTGAGAAGAAGCGCCGCAACAAACTCAGTCACCACTGTATGCCGGTTAATATAAATAAATAGAAATAGCAGTAGTAGGTACATTCGATTCAGGAGCAGTTCACTGAATTTACCATGCATTCTTGTATAGTGTATCTTATAAGAATGNATTTACCATGCATTCTTGTATAGTGTATCTTATAAGAATGGATATACTTTATTGCGTGGTATATTAAACAAGGTAAGTAGTGACGCGCTAATATCTATATAATATACCTGCTTATTTATTACCTAGTTTTAGGATAGATTAACTTTTATGTATTTTTTTTCTGTGTAACTTAAGTAAATGCTTGCGAGTGTTTCAAATCATTTATTTATTAATAAGTTAAGAATGTTCATGGCTCAATCAATTCAACATTCATTTTATGTTCTGAAAATACTTTACTTGTACCATAAACTTGCAATTTAAAAACATAATATTGAGAATGTTAGCACGTGCGCATTCGATCTTGTATTAAGATGAATCGATTTTGATGGTTCATTTTTAACACATTTTATTACTAATAACAACATACTTTTATAGATTAGTTTTATATTATTTTCAAGTTCAAGTCGTAAAATATAGTTAATAATATTACTTTCATTCTTTAATAAAGTTTCCGAGTT